TTTCTCCCAACTGTTAGGATAATTGTTCTATAACGTTTTTTTTCTATCTTAAAATTCCTGCGATTTTGAGGATTTACTTACCAATTTCTTTGATAACACCAAGTAAAACTTTATTTTGCAAGAACATTGTCCTGTTCCAATAGTTAAAACCGCGTGCATGATCAGCCAGTTAATTTCTATGTGGGTTAAGTCTCCGAGACAGTTCGTTGTGCAAAGAGGAATTACGGTGCCTATCTGGTTGAAACTTACCCGTCAAAAGTGAGGGCGGCTACACTTCACCAACGAATCTGATCAGTTGGGGTCTGAAGGTTCATTTCATATCTAGCTTGGCGTAATTCCGAAAGATTGTAGAAAATTAATTGCGACTTAGAGTTCGTTACTTTAAGGCCTTATTCCCTTGTCCAGATAGAGCTAGCGTTTTCTCAGCAGTTTGGTCAACATCTCTCGGAACTGAGCTGTGCGTATTATTTAAAAGGAAAAAATTACCTCCGCACGTAAGTTACATTTCACGTAATATTTGAAGAGAAGCTAATAATTCAAGCTCCAACAGGATTCGAGCACGCACCTTAATCGCAGATAGAAGCTGAGCTCTACTACTACTACTTACTGTGTTATATTAGCAGCGAGGCAAATTGCTGTAGTTTCGTTGTTGCTGTAATAGAAACTGATCCCAGTCTGGTAAAGTAAAGAAATAGTCTTCATAGGTACGCTGAAATAACAAGCATTTCTGAGATGAGGCCAAAAAAATTCACGCTTCGACGTTATTGTAATGGAGGTCGGAGCTCGAATAGTGTTTTAGATCGCTAAATCTAAATTACAAATAGAAGTTTCAGCAAGATCATAGATGTTGTATTTGGTGTGTTAGTTATTTTGATGCGTGCGTTTTCTTTCAAAATGCTTCTTCATTTACTTATCCATCCCTTGCCATTATTGTTTAAATCCCAGCTGGTCCAGTATAAACGGGGTGGGCTAAAATCAAGTTGAATCTTTTTCATATTCCTTGTAGGGTCGACCAAAATACTCAAAGGTACTTTTATTTTCATTTAAACCGGGATTTTCAAAACAGGCCATTTGTAAAACTGAAAGAGATTGCTCCCACAATGAATGCTGTGCGTTTATGAAGACGGAAATCGTGATAGTAACCAGAAAAATATGTTTGTCTGGAGAAACATGCAATCCATACAAAAAGGTGAGGACTCCTTTAAATTTGGTTTTAACTTAGTCTTTACATTTCTTTTTAATATGAAAAGTAAGGATTTTGAAAGTCGCAAGGCGAAACAGCAGTTTTTCTTATCGTACCTGGGAACTTATACTTTTAAATTATGTGTTATATTTTTCGAGTCATTTTTACATTTATAGTTGTTGAGGCTTGGCGCTTTCAGGAAAAATCGGGTCGCTATGTTTACGATTATTTTATGTCATTGAAATAAACAGCACAGTTTTGCTAAATAAAATAAAAGTTTAACAAGTGTTTGATGTCTGATGACATTTGGAAACAAAGGTTGATGGTAATCAACCGCAAAGGAATTGGTTCAAAATTGAGGACAACATACATAATTTCCACAAGCTAACAAAATACACACATGCACTTACACATGTGCAAACTTCTCAAATTCTTACTGAATGACAGATGCACAGCTGCTACCATTATGTTTCGATATTATCGCAAACTATTTGCTGTTTCTTATCTACTTTAATAGGAAGATATTACCAAATAAAGAAACAAACAAACAAATTATCGCAGAATAATAGAAAGTTACAAAACAACAATGAAAAATGAAATCACGATCAAAATTAAATCTATAAATCTGGAAGAATGCTGGTTGCCTGTTTTTTTTTTCCTTTGAATTTCTCCCAAGTCCAAGTTCTCCCTCTGTTTGCAAAATTTCCTAACATTATGACTTTTCCCAACAATATGAAAGCATCTTATTCAGTCTCCACCTTAAGTTCTTAATCCAGGGCAGCACACGGTGGCACATCACTCCCTCTACAATCCCGAATATGCTTCTGTGATTAGTGACTGATGGTGGGATTAAAATTACAGACCAATAAACATAAGGTCCTCGAGGCGTAATGTCGTCTTTGAAAAGTAATGAAATGATGAATGCATCATCAGTTATGATAATGAGGTGTCACCGACAATATCGTTCAGCCCGAGTTACAGAAGGCCTTTTAAAATAGACAGAAACAAAACAAAACAACACAAATGAAAAAAAGGTTTAAAGAAATATGTTTTTCATTTTGTTACGAGCGTTAGACAGAGATATTTGAGTCCCCATGAAGAATATAATCATAGACCTTCGGATTTCGCGCCCTATTACAGAGCTAGGCCATTGCTACCTGTAGGTTTATAAGTGACACACGTCTCGCATGTTGCTCGGATCGACAATGTCGAAAGCGTCGTGTAAGTGGTAATTGGTGAATTCGCAATTATCTTTGCGAGATCCCCCTTAATATAAAATGAGTTCGCCCCTAAGTCATTCAACATCAAGTTACGGGGCGAACTTGCAGGGGTAGTAGTGGGCGATTTTGCATTGGGGCGAATTCACCATAAACCGTGTGGGTTTTGCCTTCATTCGTTTGTCCTCATGATTAAATCTCACTGAAATTCATTCAGGCATCCCTGAATTCTGGCCACCTCTTTAGAAGTTCCTCGGAACACAAAAAGAATAAAAAGAAATGCAGTCAGTTTTCGTTGCGTCATTTGCACTTCAAAATATGAATACCATCTACATCAAAACTGTCTTCAAATATTTTCATCACCGCTAAAAATTCAAAAGCAGGCCCAGCCTTAATGATAAACCTGTTAGTTCTCTAACATCATATTTCAAGTAGTTGATTGCCAATAATGCACTGACCTTCTCTTTACCTATTCCATTTTGTTTACCGGATGGAAGTAATGAAGAGATAAAGACCAGCTGAAGGATGAGAATTTATTTTATTTTAGTTCCACTGCCATAAATGATAAGCCCTCTGGAGGAAAAATATATTGAAAGTTCAAACACTCTATCAAGTGTATTTGAAATGTCTTTTTTTCTGCTTATGGCTGGCGTCGAGGGTGCGCTCTGATTACCTACTCAAACTCCGAATATCCCAGTTATTCACCTCGACGAAACTTTGTACGTCTCATTTGAGTTAAAAGGAAATTTTTGGTCCCTCGTTTCGATAGGCACGAAGAGCTAACAGTGAAATGCACTATCAGTGGAGAACTTAATACGGGTTTTTAATACAATGTACATAAACAATTACCGCCCTTCTGATTGGCTGAAAGCGATTGCATTCTCGTGTAACACGAGTGCAAATTACAAACAGCGCGCACACTCTTTAAAAATTTCTTGACTTTCTGTGACGTTTATTCGTGTACATTATTAACAAATATTAAAATGATTTCTCTTGCAATTTGGCGCAATAAGCACTTATAAATTTTTGAAAGATGCCGAACGGGTTCGCGCAATTTTTTTGGTGTCTTCGAAAAATTTTCTTGCGCTGATTAACATCAAAATGCACTTTAAATCATGTTATTACCTATACAAACTTCTGATGAGCACAATTGTTGTTGGACCCATCAGCCATCATTAAAATTTTAAATAAGGGAACACTGGAACTGGCTGTTGTAATAGAAGAAGCTTCATGACCAGAAGTTACTTTGAAAATATTAGAGTTTACAACGGCGTCCTACTGTATCATAGTCACCTCTCAAGCGAAGGGGCCGCAATCGTGTGGTTTCACGCGGGAATCCATCTGGGATGGGACAGTGGGACGGATCTAACCAGTAGGAAAGTCTCTACACGGCTGAGTAGTTTAAAATTTTAAGGTCAACGAGCGAAGAACACGTAGAGCGCCTTTTGCGAGAGCCACACTGCTAAACTCTACGCCGTCTGGGACGACACGGCAGTGACGAAAATCTGGGTCTGTAAGCGCCAGCAAGCTGAGGAAAACAGCATACCATATCTCCGAGGCAATTCCTTCGAGGACTACGATCTATTATTTCCGAGCAATGTTGAGTGTGATGTATCAACCAACAATGTGAAATGCAGCGTAATCAACATTACGCACATTTATTTTCTTTACAATTTTTACATAAGACTAGATCAAAAAACAAATGCATTAACTCAGAAATACGCTAATATATTTTTAAGACAAACTATAACTCGGCTATTAATAATGGTTAAATACGATATCAAAACGTAGGAACGTAGTCAAAAGTTTGTCTTATGCTCCTTTTATAAAGAAATTTTCGTAGCTCAACCAATTAACGTCAAGACAAACACGAAAAAGTCTTGGCAGCTAATAAGTATCCAAAACGTTTGAACTCAAAGCCTTCGCACGTTCAAAAGACTTTATTGACTAAAATGAACGCAAGAGTGACTACGTTCTATTTCATACTTAGCAGTTTGCTTTTGACAGAGCCCCTCTAAAATTCTTCCTGCGAACGGCATGAATTTTGGTAATAGTTTGCAGGCATTCAAACAATTCCCCCGAAGACTTTGTATGATATGACAAACCACGAACGGGTAACCTGTGGTGCAGACTGAGTGACTGACCAAGCCCGGAGACATGGGTTACTCTCGTGCTGCGCCCATGGGGAGTCACTTCAGCGGTTACGCGCCACATTTCACCCCTTCCATTGTGCTCAACGTCTCCTAGAACACGAGAATTTAGAAGGAATTTATATCCGTTGACTACAAGACGCAGTCATCAAGCATCTTACGGGAAGGTTCTACGCTTACTATAAATGATTTTTCCTAAAGCAGTCCGTTGTAACACCATTAACAGTTGCCTGAGAACAGAGAGCTTGACTACGAATAGAAAACCGTTTAACAAGGTTAAATCAGGTAAGTGTAACTTTGCACATCTTAACGGCTTAAATATTCTTTACAAATAGATTAGGAGGTCCTCTTAAAGGAATGCTTTATCGTGGTCACATTTCTTTCTGAAAACATTGCGGTAAAAATTGTGCATCAAATTCCTAGTGCTGTGTTAAAATAATGGAACAATTTCTACCTGGTTAAGTTTGCAAACACAAGGCTGGTGTCATTGCCCTCTGGAGGTCGTCTCTTGTTATAGCGATGGTGAGACCTTGACGACTGTTCAGAACCAGCCTGTCTTTGCTGAGCTAGCATCTCTACGGAAAATCAAAATACAGCCTTAAGAAATACATTCAATCAGTATTCTTGAATTACTTGGGAATCTTATGCCACGCAGATTCAAGTTTTGAAGTAAATTGAGCGGTGTCAAAGCATTCCATTCAGTGCTTTCGTTTTTCGCTCTTTTCACAATATTAATATTCTCAGCTGGTCTTTGTCTTCTACTGCCATCTTTCACACGAGTCAAAAGTCAGATTTCCCGGTTGCCCCGAACAAGAACTAATTCTTACATATTACAACTGCCACTAGTGTAAGATGGAGAATGATAGCAGCGGTTGAATACAATACCATTATAAATCTCTTCTTCTTGTCTCTGATTGTAATCCAACACCAATCTCTTGACCTCTTCCTGTTCCTGTTGTTCAGCCATTTGTCTGTCCCGGATGTTTGCCGCCAGACCAGAACTAAGAGGAATCTGAAGATCTGTTCATTCGGGAATCAAAAACCTTATTATTGTAAGGATCCTCTTATTATAAAGACTACGTCGAGTTCTATAGGGCAGCATTGGTGAATTGTTAAAAATATACGACTGAAGATATACATAAATAGACGGCTGAAGCAAAAGCAAAATGGAGCAGAAGCAAACACTGAACAGTCACTGATTTCACTAATTATTAATTTAAAAAGGTGTGTTGCCAGGCATTTCTACAGGCATTTTCAATCTAATTCTACGGAATAATAGTTCGGGTCTTAAGCTCAAAAACCAGTTAATTCTATGTCATTTCCTTGTATTGCATTTCAAAACTCGATTTTGAATGAGACCCAGCAAACAAAATTAAACTTTTTGGGCCCTTAAAAGATAAACGAGGAAAAGGGCCCAGCTAGTAACCAAGTTAGATAATAAGATAAGAAATTTTGTCAGTCTGAGCTCGGCTGCTAAGGTAATAACGTATTCTTTAAGGTATGTGCCATTTCAATAGAATCACGGAAGTGAAGAACCTTAGTATGAATCCAAACTTGAAACGCGCTACAACTTTTAGATAAATAAATATATCTCTCACGAAAAGAACTTGCTTGCCTTTAAATTGTTGTTTATTTCCCTTTTTCAGCATGACAACAAAGTTTAGGTTTTCGCTCTCTTCAGTCAAACTGTTGTGACGAGCTCTCTGTCCTTTCAGGTGCATTGGAACTGCTACATCCAAACTCGGCACCTGAGAGATAATAAAGCGAATTAGGGCGACAACAAAAAGAGAAAGAAACAGCAACAGCACAACTGCAAATGGTTCAGTTATGGTCTCTTTGAGCCTTGCAGATAACACCAATTTCTTCTAACCTTGAAAAGCCCGCTACAATACCCGTTTACAGTTTGTCTTCTCGCCATTTGTCATCTAACAGGGTAACCAATATGGGATAGGGAAGGAGGAGAATATTACCGTACTCGAAAACGCGAAAACATCAATCGTTACGTCAGAAGCAAAGAAGACTGACAAAATCAAAAAAAGATGACACATGTAACTTTAACTACACTTTCTACAGGCTTGGTAGGTAATTGAGCAAAAGGTGGAAAGATAAAAGGACAGTGCAGCTGGTGTTTGCTTCATTCTAAATACCTTGGGGTTTTCTTCCCGGCGATTCTGAATGTCATCTAACATCAACTTATCAAAGGCTGCAAGAAACGCCTTGTCTTCGACGGTTTGTTCCTGCTTTGGAGGACTAAGGACTTTCACCTGCAGGAGAAGGCCACGGAACGTAGTAAGGTTCACACTTCTCAACAAAGAAAGTAGGATGATCGCAAAATTACATAAAAATCGAAAAATCTACCCGACGTCTTTTAGAGCAATCTTGGAGAAACACACGGCTCAACTGTTTTATTCTTTAAGGAAGATGATGAAAAGGAAACAGTAGCCTAACCCTGCTTTGCTGGTCGAACGGCTCAGACGTTTGGGGTCTGACCTGCTGATAACATCTATTTGACCATAAACAGTTGTTACATCTCAGACTACTATTTTTGTACAGAAGTTATTCAGAATTTGAAGCATTTACGGCAAAACACCTTGTTCATATCCACATCATTTATGTCCACTTCAGTAATTTCTTTATCATTTTCCGTCCCATGGGTACCACGTCCCTCATCGTCTTCTTCGTCTTCACCTTCACTCTCCCCAGTCTCACTGTGTTCATCTTCTTCGCGCAGCATAGGGGACTGGCAAGGAGAGTTACTTAGCGAGGCAGCTGGAGATTCTGTGACAACTTTGCTGTAAGACATGCTAGGAATTGGCATTGGAGTTGAATCGTGTTCTGGGATGTTAGTGTCTTGCTCAATTGGGGTGGCTTTCTCTACAGAGAAATGAAACAACAGCTGGAATCAGCCATATTAAACATTGATTTCACGGCCTTCATTGGAATAAAGTGCGGATGATCTTAGGCTTCGTCTATCTCGCAAATAAGTTTCTTGACTGGCAGGAAAATAAGAGCCGTGCCGAGCCCTGATGACTGTCTTAAATATAAGGGCCATAAGGGTATTTGCTCAGTTGATTGAGCACTGGAATAATATCGCGGAAAACCGATGGGTTTTGGTCCCTGAGTTGTTTTTATAGGTTTCTTTCACTCAACTGCTGAAGTGTCAAGAACTAACCAGTCGTATACTACTACAAAAAAAATCTAATATTTTTTTCCGTCTACTCTTCTTATTTCAAAGTTGACCGAACTCGCAGTAAAAAAGATCTTTTTTCCCCCGCGGACAAGCGGACAAAAAAAATATCACGTTTGCTTATTTTTGTAAGTAGCCTTATACCTGTTTATTAAAACATACCATAAGAACTCAAAACGTTCTATTTTTGGAGCAATTTACAATTGGGTGTCGAAAAGGAAAAAAAACCCTCGTCACAACGGTTTTGCATCACTTTGCCCCTTGCAAAACTCGCACTAGCTACTCAACCAAACAGAGACAAACCTCATCAAATGCGACATTATTATTTGCGTTCCTCTCCACTTAGGTCGTTTACATCTGTGCATTTTAAATTCCCAATGGCTTCTTTGGATGTTGTTCCTTATTTTATAATATCCAATCGAAAAGCGCCATAAAGGCGATGTGAATCTTAAACAGGATACCATTTAGCTTGAATAACCACACCACACTAACCTATCTGTTCTTGATGCTCCTTGTTCAACTTTTCAAGAGTTTCAACAGCTTGCTCCAGGCTTGCAAAGATGGTGAGTTTGGGGCGAAGAGACTCAAGAGTGTCAGCAATCATGTAATCAACATCACGCGGAAATGGGTGTCCTTCATTCCATATGGGATCGGCTTTCTTCTTCAGGATGTAGCACTAGTAAAACAATCATGACACTTTCTTATAAAGCTGTATGGTGCAACCACACAAGGCGAACACCTAACGTTAGTGTCCACCATGCGTCACAATCAATCAAGATTTACTTTCGATTGTAAAAAAATTCGAAACTCTTGTACTAAGCGATCACAGAAACTGACATTGTAGAGATTTAGCAATTGACACAGAGATATTTGATGACCAGCGCGCGCAAAAAGTGATTACGCTGTCCCACTAGGAACGAACGTGACAACCTACACAAATGGCTTTCTTGAATTCTAATCTTAGACGTCAGCTCGAACATCGACAGTTGAAATTAGTGATGTCTCGTCTCCATTCTACGTCATGTTGTGTTTCGTAAATGTACCAGTCACTTGCGAAAGGTTCACAAGGTATTCGAAAACGCAAAATCAACATATCTTTCAAAGAAAAAAAGATAATTAAGCCACTGGCCTACAATTGAAAAAGTAGGCTCAGCTTTCATCTTACTTGAAAGTAGACAAGAAAGCAGTCAAGTTTCTTCTTATAATTTCCATGATCAAAATACTGTCCACAGGTGTCGAGTAAAGTACACATCAGACGGATACGGAACAGATGTTCAGGAGGATCCAGCACTGAAACAACACCTGTTGTCAAGAAACAAAACTGGATTTACCTACTGTAAGTAGACCAGGATAGTAAGCCCTAGAAAAGGATCAAAACCCACGGTAGAGAGAAAGGAAAAAAAATTGATTCAACCTTATTAAGCGTGATCCCAAGCCGCGTGTTTTTAATATTGCTCTTTTTAAAAATTCACTTGTGGAAGTCCCACGCAGTTGTTATCGCTCGTTGAGTTTGTTGCGTTTTTGGCACATAGCTCTGATAGTGATTGTCACGATGTTACAAGAAAAAGAATTTGGGCGCAATGAGTTTGGTGACAACACTGATAAGAATGAGAAAAGGAAGATGCGTGGAAATTTAAGTGAAAACCCCTAGAAAAGAGCTTTAGAATGAACGCAACAAGTTATTTTATGACGTACTTTTTACACCATATTCCTTCGTTGTCTTAGGGCAATTAAACTTAGCATTGTTTAGGCATTTATTTTAAGTATTACTTCTCACTGACCTTCCTGGTTGTTTCCAAAGGTGATAAAGGAATAAAGGGTGCTGAATATGACACGTGACTCCACTAATCTGTAGTTATAAAGCTCACCCAAAAACTTCACACAGCTCACACGACGCTGGTTCATCTTCTGCAGGTTTGTCTAAAGGGAAATCACGTTTATAAAATGTGTAAAATAAACGACAATGCACGTATACTGTAAGCCGGGAATGAACAGGGACCGACACGCATAGCTGCCACAGCTTATACAACTGAGATTACGCAGCATTTAGCGACTAGGAAAGTGTTGCTGCTCCTCCAGGAAGGGATACTGGTTATCGCAAGCCCCACTTCCCCCCTTCAACATTCCGTCACAACCATTAACATTCCTACATGGAGAGAAAAGCATTGTGAAAGTAGATTATACCGCTCTTGAACACTGCTCAGCAGGGTGAACTTAAGGTTTTCATTAAGAAATGTTAAAGCACAAGGGTGGAGTTAAAGCCAAAGAATTCTCCAATCTGTTAGAGTTAGAGCCTGAAGAAAAACGAAGATAGTAGTGAGGATTCTGTGCCATTTAGTAGTCCGCTCTTTGGAAACGAAACAAAATAAGGGCTCTTACGAGGGTGTGAATTTCTTGTTTTTCGTGCATATTAAAAAAGACCCTGCTTCTCGGCATTTCAACCGCACCAATAGAGCCAACTCATTTTAAGGCATTTAGACTGACTTCTTACCTCCATTCCAAGACGAATCTCTTCCAAAACTCCATCAACGACATACAGGCCAACGTCCTCCTAAAATTGTGGTAAAATTACTTTATATGAGATAGGCATCAATTATGCCCAAAATCATAAGCAGGGAAGAGGGGTGGTTTAGAGAGTAGAGGAGACCAGATGAACAGAGGGGACAAGAGAAAAGCAGCGAGGAACAGAAGAAAACAAGGAAGGTACACCAAAAATCAGAGTCAAGAAGATAGCGAAGGAAAGAAAAACTCTGGTTGCCACGAACAAACTGACTTTTTTTCAGCTGGCAATAAAAATTGCAAAGCAGCAAAATAAAAAAGAAAGAAAGAAAGAAGGAAAAAAAAGAAAAAGAAAACTGCTGTCGAAACATCTAGAAATATATATAACAGTCATTTGGTTATTGGCTTTGAGTGTATTTCTCATGCAAAAATGATCATGAGACAAATGGATGAGATAAGATCAATGGTTACTTACATAATACTGTGCTAAGCCTGCCAACAGATTGGCAGCGCAGTGTACACTGTTGTATTTGATGTTCCACACACGAATCAGACACTTTATTACGTACAAAGCAACCTGAAAAGTCATCAAACCAAACAAAATGCACGGAGTAAAAAGGATTCATTACAAGAAAAAACTTTCATATTCGATATGATGCATCCTACTGTAGAAGATACTGAACAATAGCGAACATAAACAAAAAGTTCATCTAACTTTGTATCGTACTCCAAAACGACAAGACAAGTTTTGCTCAGCTTTCATTATGTTCTTACTTACGCGACAGAATGAACAGAATGCAGTTTAAATCAAACCCAGAAATTAATTGACACATACATTTATGAAAAACTCCCTTCATCCCACTACGAGCAGGCTTCTTTTTTCTGACTATTTTGAATGTGAAAAACGAAATCTAACGAGTACAAGTATGAATTCATAACTTCTCCGAACATTAATCGCTCTTATGACATCAAACTCATATACAAGAAACGGTCATCTGCAGCACATTCTTCTCAGTTATTATTGTTAATATCCAAATCGTTCGTCTGTCCTTGGGCTCGGAAGTGAAGATTCAAACCTGGTATGTAACGCTCCTAACCCCCAGCAATTACTGAGTCAACTGTTAAGTTGGTAAGCATTAATTAGGTTTTGAACTCCAAGCCACATTTTAGCTCCGCGCTCAATTTTTCTCCACACACTGCACGGACCGGCTCCTCGCACTTATCACAGTTGGCTCAGTAAATGAATATATATTTTTTCTATTATTCAAACTTTTCTCAAAATGTTCTGATAACGCCTCAACAACCAGATTTACAGATATACCTGTGGTTCATTCCAGGGTAGTTTTCGTATTTGTCGTAGTACCTGCCGGAAAATAATCAAAACTAACGTAATCAACTGAGTATTTTACCTCATATATCTAAATGAATCAGGGCAATTAGTCACAAAGACTACAGCTGAGTAGTGCTCATGTCACAACTCTTTTCATATGTTTAAACCTTCTCGATCTTCTGGTAAGTTGACAGCGAACTTTTGATCCTTTAACAGAATTTACACTTTTTTAAATTTCCAAGGTGCGTAAATAATCTTGAATTAGCAAAAATCTTTTTACAACTACATTCATACAAAAACCTATAAAGGAAGTCAAAGCTTGCCTCTGTATAACTATCTAAAGTTCTTTATGGTAACATCAATCTAAAGAGCTGCTTCAGCTGATCGATTTCTGTGATTTTATACCGAGTGGTCCTGAAAAGTACTGTTTTTATGGCGGCTTCGACAGTCTAAGCAGAAGTAAACTGTAATCACCAAATTTAAATGAAAAACTGTCTGTCAGTCGAGGTCTGGTTTATGAAACTGACTTGTGCCTTTTTCCGAGATAATCATGTTCCTTGCATTAAGACTGTAGCAGCGTTTGTCAGCTGTGATTACCCTGCCTTGAAACCAAAATGAAAAAATCTGACAAAGAACCCTTCAATTTACTCTGATAGTGACTATCACTGACTTCCAATCATCAGTCACTGTCACTAACAACACTACTTTTCAAAACGATTCTCACGAGCACTATTATACCCTCCGCCTCACACAGTGTACTCTATACCATTATACCTTCTCTTAAGAAAAGTCTTTATTTCATTACTGAACTCAAAATTTCCATCTTTCTCACTCTATATACCTTCTCTGTTGTGGTTTTGGAGAGGTCTTTGTAGAGTAATTTACGGATGTACTCCTGCATCGGAGGACGCTCTTTCTGAGCAACCTATAGACAATAAACCATATCTTATGATTTTTATTAATGCCAATTGCTCATGGAATTGAAACTAACCAAGCAACGAGTTGTGGTTAGCAAAGTGACATAACATCAGCTGAAATTATACGAAATATTCTAAATATCAATAGGAACAGCCCAATCCCCTGGGCAGTTATTATTTATTATTACGGTCCTAAGAAAAACAAAGATGGTTACAGGAGAAAATTAAGCAAATTATAACACACTTAAACTATGTATATAACATGTTGAAGACCAGCTTTAAAATATGCGAAGATTAAACTTCTCTCATACGAGGCACTAAGATGTGAGGATGAAAGCTTTTTGATAAGAATCACCTTTTGCCTTTCTGGAGGGTTACAGTAGAAGAACGCATTCTCAATCAAGGTCAACTGACGACTGTCAAGATTCTGGACAGCTTTCTTTCTCATCATCAGCTCCTTGTGTATGGAAGGGAGACAATAAGTTACGGACGGTAAGATAACTTCATGTAACTTAAAGAGTTATGGCTTTATGTGAAGTCACGTTTATTCAAAAATACAAAAAATGGAGGTGTATGAAGCTCAAAAATAACAGCCAGCTTATTTGTTATATGATTACATGCACCTGAAATAATACATATTCCTAACCTTATCAACATTTGTCCAAACAAATGAATTTTATCAGTACAATCACGGATAGGAAGGCTCATTCATTTCCTCACAAAAATGATAAATATTATATGAATCTAAATAACTGAAAAATAGATAATCAATAACAATCATTACTATTACAATTACCCAACAAAATCTTGCAAAATTGAACTCACCAACAAGTTTTTAGTTCTGATATGCGAGTCTGGTGAGCGGTACAGAAATCTGCCACACACTTCCAACAAGTTACAGGCCATCTCAATGTTATGGTGGGTAAAATCTTCCAAAAGCATCTAAAATAAAAAAATCAAAGAGTTCATTTCATGTAACTTAGACAGAAAAAAGTTTACAATTGAGAGGAGACCAAAAATTAAAAATCACTATTACCCAGAAAGCTCACCCAATTAAAGTGTTGATTGATGAGAAGTGATCAAAGTGCTCTGTAATTAAAAACCAGCTGACAGTGACCCTTCACTATGTAAATTTTTACTCAAAGTAAATTACATAGTTCAAAACTTAGCTTACTACGGAAACCTGAATAAAAACTGTTTCAAACATCAAACAGTTTTTCATTCAATAGTAAGAAGTTTCAAGTGGCTGATTTTCAAACCACAGAATGTAGTCTTATACACAATCATGACTCTTACTGAGCTCTATTTCCTATCTGTAAATGGCAAGCTCAGGTTCTAGAGAATCATTATCTTCTTATTTATATGATTTTGACAACTCTTGACGGCAGTGACCAACTGCTGGAAATCTAACGTTGAGCAGACCTGAAGCTGTTTAGACAGGAGCAAAGGATTTAAGATAGTCATGAAATAGAGGATAAAGAGTCTTCATATATTAATCAACTAAGTGACTGATGTACCCTTAAATTCTAGGAGAGGATGGATGTTGAGAGAAAAATATCCTACTGTTAAAGCATTTGGCAGAGGGAGGCAACAGTGGGGTACAAATGGGATGAACAAAATTTCATCTCACCTTCAAACAGTGTAGAGCTTCTCCTTTTGGGTACATATGGAACTTAGTTAATTCACCTACAGGAATAATGAAAGAAAATGCACTGGTACTATACTATAATTATATTTGCTAATAATTATCTTAACAAATATTCCATTTTGAAAGGGTTGCTCTAGAAGCAGTATGTGTTAACATAAATAGTTCTTACCTATGAATCTCACGGTCTTTATTTTTGACTCAACATTAATCTGATCCTTTTTACGCACCTATAAAACAACATGGAACCACTAGAGTATCTAAATAAAACAAAGAATAAATCACTCAACTCATATCAGTAGTCAAAGTATTTATGAGACAAAAAGCTGCCATAATTTTTTTTAAAACTATTTTTCCTTCAACTTGCTTACACGAAATTTGAATTCTCCTTTCAGCTGCTGCATAAGCTCAGGTGCAAGATCAGGAGCACAGGGATCAAGAGTGGCCACCAGGCGAGCATACATTGGTAACAGATCCAACCTTACAAGGAAAAAAGGCATTGGATTATATATGTAGTACTAATTCTAAAACTTAGAAAAAACTCAAGCATTTAATGGTCTATTTCATTTCTCAAGACAACATACTACAAACAGAAAACAGGTTTCAAATTTGTTCTTACTCTGTGTAGATTCGTGCACACTTGACTAACCTTAACATTTCCCCATTACTTTGCAGTCTTTTTCATTAAACACATAATTCTTACCGTATCCTTGGAACACCAAAAAGTGCATGGCAAAGCCTTTTTCTGTTTCCCTTGGTGTTGCATGTTTGCATAAACTCTGTTGCTACCTAAACAAACATACAACATATGCAAAAGACGTTTATTTGTTCTCACATAGTAGGTAGTTCCAAAGGTATTGTTAACCCAAAGTTTTGAGTTTGGGTTCATGCAGATCACAGCAAATTCATCCCACTCTGTTTCACAAATTTTTATGGCATGCCTTGGTGTTAATCAGAAAATTAAATTTCACGAATTACTGTTGGGGAACTACTCTAGAAGTTAACTACGAGCAGGGCATAATTTTTGTCAAAAGTGAGTTACGGATGATTAAGATTTTGGATGGAACATCCACTTGCAAGGTAACAACCAATGTGCTTACACAGTGTGATGATTAAACATCCAAAACAATGACTTAACATTAGTAGAAAAACATTAACTGTGCATTACATGTACCTCATCAATAAGGTCCTTGTTGACACATGTGGGTAGTCTTTGTATAATTGCCTCCAGAGCTTGTCCAGTGGATGAGCTTAGTGTTTCTCCAGATGAACTGTCATCGTCATCTGAAATTAACAAAAACATTTTTGAATTCTAATAAGTTCTATCCCCCAACAGTATTAGATAATATATGCCTGCATGGGATGAAAAGATAGCAAACTCTTAATTTCCAAAAGTTAAGAAACCAAACCCTTGTGCTATATTTTTAGGAGGACCAATTAGCTCACAAAAGGTAAATTTTTTTTTACTAGGAGTTGTTCACTGTCAATGTAAAGGTGTGCCCTTACTACTTATGTGACATAATGAACAATACCATCACTTTAAGTTCCCTGGATGTTGAGCATTTCCACACCACCATCAGATATTAACAATAAAAAGAAGCCTAATGGTATGGAACATGTACACTAGAGTTAAAGTACATGTTACAAGCTAACCGTGTAGCATCATTGCTGCAAATAGCTTTGATAACCACTACCTAAATAGAGCTTATATTTTTATGACATCAGTCTCAGTCATCAGTCTTATGAATGTGTGAGTTACAGTGGCAAAGGAACTTATGAATGACTCTAATTCAAAGTTAAGTGCATGTAAGTATGTACCTTCCTCACTTTCTTTTCCACTGAATTCCTCATCACCAATGTCATCACTTAGCTCTTCAAACTCCTCAACTTTCACTAAAAAAAATCAGAAATATGGCTGTTGAAGTTTTATGAACATGATACAGGAAAATATCCTCCTACCAGCAAGGGGTTAAGAGTAAATTTTTCAGTAAACATATTTACAAAACTAATAATCAGACCTAAATACCCAAAACTGCCTTGCTGGTTACAAATGTCAAGAACACCAGAACTAAAATTTACTTTCCAGCTCTTGCATGTCTAGTTTTTCATCTGCAACTGAATTTGTTTCATCATCTTCTTCTTCATCTTTCCCAACATCTTTGTACAAGATCTGACAATAAGATACAGAAATGTACTGTTGTTGGTGAAATCAATAGCTTTCATTTACTTGTGGGTGTCCTGTTACTGATAATCATGGTAACTTCCAAATGCATTTGCCAATTATCCATGCATTAGTATGACCTGAGCTTACCACTTGCCTTACTACCAAATTGATGGCTGAGATCTCTAACATTTCTAAAAAGGTGCCATTCACAAATAGACTACATCACCAACACTGCCAATTACTATGCACAAACTACCTTTTTCAATAACAAAAAATGAAAAGTGTTCTTTGATTGAATTAGTCAGTAGTTTGAAATACTAGGTGTGTATATATATATATATATATATATATATATATATATATATATATATATATATATATATATATATATATAGTGTTATCATAGAATCAGTTTTTTCATGTACCTTTGGTAAGAAAGCCTTGAGGTCTCTGAGGTTTTCATAAAAGATCCTTGTTTCCTCATCTTCCCACAGGCCTGCACTTCCATCATACTGTTTAGAAGATCAGTAATTACTTTTTTTAAATTAAGGGTCTGAACTGATCTATATTTAGTTTATACCTTACCAATACTGATTTTTATTGTTAAAATGAAGTAAAAATAAAAAACTTATCTCAGACCAAAGCTTTGCAATTGGGTAGGAAAATTGTCTTGAGGAAACTAAATTTCCCTACTCTTTACACAAAAATTCCACCCTGATAACAAATGAAAGCAATGCCATCTAGTAACTAACTATTTACACACTTTCAGCAAGACTGAAGTGGGTTTGAATCTCTGAACTGTTCCTAAGTATAATTTTAAGTAATTTTCTTGGCTTTTTACATGGTGCATTAAGTTCAATACTTGTCACCACTGAAACAGTTAGCTCCCAGAAAACAAGAAACTTTTACATGACTGTATAAAACCCTGACATTTTCTGCCATGACCAAGGAATTCCCCTCAGAAATAGATCAGACTCAAAGGATGGGCTGAGAATACTTCACTAAGTCCACTTGGAAAGCTTTTAAATATGAGCTGATAATAACTTTATCTACTGTAAAAAGTGTTATGGTGTAGTAGCAATTGAACAAAGTTCCATTAGAGAAATGTTAGGATTTGTTTCAAACTCTATAATTTCTAAAGATCAAGCAGTGAACATGTATTTAATCAACAGAAAGATGGAAGAAAAACAGGGAAGTCATATGGTGAATGTGAACTGTGCTCGACTTGAAGTTGATTTCATCCCACACTGTACCTCTGATTGTTTAAAAGGGTTAAACACATCGATTGTGCTTCCCTCAGCCTCTTGCTGGACAAACTCTATACAAAGATGAAACAAATAATGAAATCTTTGATTCTTGAATGAGAAAAATAAGAAAATATGAAAGTTAAGTGTGTTCCACACCTTACTGCTCAGAGGTTATATATTACACCAGAGCTCAAACTACTGTATAAGCAGATGTTCATGGAATTGACAGTAGGGGCCTTTCCACACTAGCAACAAAGTTGTTTATTTAGACAAAGTTTCTGTCATCATCAACATTTTACAAGTGCAGATGGTTTGTTGTAGCTTGACAAATTTTGGTAAATGCACCTTCAAATGCACCTTCTACAAAATTTTTCATGCATAAAAACCTGGACAAAAGCGACTTAATAAACATAACCATGATAAACTTGTTGATCATTTGTCCTAAAGCTATGACAAGCATGTAATTGCACTGAAATCAGTTAACTAGAAAGGCAAAAATTGTCCCTTGTTGCAAAACTTGAGGTTAACAGAAGTTAATTTTCCATCACAATAACACACTCTTCCTAACAAGCTTCTTACTGAATAATGTCCTGAATTTACAGGGAGAAGTTACAAGTTACCCCCAATTTGAGGATTTTAAAAGTTAATAGATCACTTCAGAACAGAGCACAGCAGAGTAAAACCAGAATAAAAGGAATAGCTGTTGTGACTGACAACCACTTACCATTCTGGGGCAAATCAGGCATGTCTTCATCCAGTATGTCCTAAACAAATCATAGCAAACACACAAAAGTAATTAGCTAGGTAAGATAAGCACAGAGGTATAAGGGTCTACACTGCTGTTTATGTCAATACAGAAAAAAAAAACATCTGGCATGTTATGATCAAAAATGCTCACTGCTAAAGAGGATGTATTGGCTAGCAGCTTCTCATATGCCTTCTGTGCCTTTTCAAATGCCTCCTTTCGTTCAGGGTGTAATTCACCTTTTGTCTGTGGGAAAATTTGATGCATTTGATAAATATATTTTACAACACTGTGTTTCACAGGTAGACTACTTCTATTTTTAGCTATAATAAAGAAGTAATGAGAGTAATTTTCTTGCCTTTGCAAAAACACAATAAGTAACAGCCCTGTATAGCTACAGTACAAGTGTGATCACCATTGCCAATATATTTTGTTGTAAAGAAATCTGCACTGAACACTGCTGAAGCTTAAATCAGAATTTTTTAAAAAATTCGCATTAGACCATGGGATATTCTAGGGTGTCAAGGTCTAAACATTTGCTTGAATGTGAAAAGCTGAGGTTGAGGTGCTTTACATTTACTGGTAATTGTATTTAAGTAATCAATGATAACCCCAAAAGTAAAGCAATAATGGAAAACAGAACTACATTTTAGCTCAAAAGCAATAAACAAAGTATAACACCAACCATTAAAGTTTGGTGATTCTGTCTCTCCCTGTTTTGAAGATCCTTATGAGCTCTAAGTAGATGGATGGAAAGTGACTTGTAATAAGATAGAAAGTGTTGATGAATAACTGCTTGATCCTCATCAGGCACTATACCACACTTTGGAAATGTTACTTTGTGTTTCTCAGACATCAACCTTTGTTTCCTGGATGTGAAGCCTGCAAAGTCTTCCCCACAATGACGAGCAAAGCTGCTTATCACCTGTACATACACATGGCTTTCTTTATCACAGTTTACCATGTTACTAAGGATTGCACTGAGTGTCTTAATGCCTTCAGACAATTTTGGAAAAACTCCACCAATAATCAACTCCCCCAACAGTCTCATGGTGACACGATACTTGCTTACATTTGCAAGCTGTGGAAACAATATGGACAAAATTATCAAATAAATACAGAGACCTTATTAATAACACACTGTTTGTTTTGTTGTGTTGATGTCCCATAACAGATCAAGTGATTGCACTCAGAATTATTTTCTCTTGAAATTTGATCACACCTATGCCTGTCTGCCTACACTGTAGTTACTTTCCATAAAGGAGAAGCACCATATCTTGAAAGGATCTAATGAGATCCAAAATGCTAACACTTTTGCTGCTGTTGATACTGCTTTTTATTGGTGTTTTCGAGCCTAAAGCCGAAGGGTTAGTCTCTGTAATCTTAATATTGCTGTTATGTAAACTTGGTTCATAAGTGTCTGGTAATAAAAGAACAATTCCTTTGATCCATCTGCTTTGGAAGTCAAGAAAAAGCAACAACATTTTGGTGAAACAAAGTCAAGAACAGACGTAATAATAATAATAATAATACTAATAATAATATTAATGGTACATTTAATATCCACATTCTTGCATACACATGAATTACAATGTTCTTACATTAAATTTTAAAACCAGAAATTTCAAAAATCAAATATAGAAATATGCTCTATAATTAAACAATGTAATATATTTTTGATTATTAAAAAAAAAATTGCACTTGACAAAAAAACTATGACAATCTTTTAATTCTATGCTTTGGTATTGTTTAGTGCTTTGAGTTTCTTGTTTGGTAATGGTGTGCAGATGCCCTCATTATAGGAAGACGTTTGAAGAGTGGGCCCCCTCTTGGTATCTTCCATTTCATTTGGGTAGTTTAAGATATTGGAGAGCTTCTCTGTATGAAAGTGCAGGTACAATGGTCTTCAAGGTGCATTTCTATGTACAGTCTTCAGAGTCATAAGAGGGAAGGGTGCAGTGCCATACCACACAACAATATTCAAGTGCAGATCATATCAAGGTTGTATAAATTGTAACTAAGTCTTAAACCTCAACGCCTGTTCTCCTCAATACACGGGGCACAGGGAAACATTTAGAGGCATTGTTAACAGTAGCATCAGTATGGTTGTTTCACTTAAAGTTATTCTGGATCACCAGTCCAAGTACTTTATGAGAGGTGACAAGTTCTAGTGGTTGATCGTCAATCTTAAATAGTGGGAGTTTCATATTTTCCTTTAGAAAGTATATCTGTATTTCTTTGCATTTTTTAGCATTGAGTTTCTTCCAATTACTAAGCTCCAAGAGAAGTTGGTATCAAGACTGTATTGGATGTTTGAATTACTGTTTCTTCCAAGTCCTTCTGACAAAGAAACATTGTCAACATACTTCCAGATACAAGTTTTGGGTGCAGAGATATTCAAATTTGCAAATCTAACTGAGGTAAACAAAGAACCTGTTATCATGCCTTTAAAGACTGGAATGCCTTGGACGGTGACTTGAAGAACTCTAGCACTATATGTCAGTTTAGGAATAATTTTTTAAAATCTTTTTATCTATAGCTTACACGAAATGTTATCAAACGTATTTCAAACCTTTTTCACCACGACAGAGACACTTAATATTAGAGACTAAACACAGCAATTGCAACCAAGAGACATGTATTTGGTAGAAATAAACTCTCAAATGATTGGAATAGTTATAATCATTAACTTCAGTACTCTGCATTTAAACCAGACAGAGCAGAGAAAGTGTTTTGAGTGTTTTCAAACGTTGTCCATCGAGAAATGTGTTCCTTGTTTATTCGTTCTCAATCGCTACCCAAATAGACGGCATCCATATCGCTGATTGCTTTCCAGATATCATTATACCCATGTTTGTTTGGAAATATTTATTCTTCACAATTTATATATATAAATATATAAAACGCGAGCTTCAGAGCGCTGCAGTATTTTAGCACTTAAGCATTCTTTGTTCGTTTTGATCCTACACAATCAGACGCTAATAAAAGTGTGAAATACTTTACATTTCGCAACAAAATACTGAATATTAGTAAGTGACGGCTGAAACAACTATTATTTAGGTCACGTTGCCCTATTTTTGAGTAAATTCTGGCATCTTTTGCCAATGCTTATTTTGCACAGTTTCTACATACACTGTTTGCTTCCATAGACAGCTTTTGAGGTCTTCCCGATCAAGGTAAATTTACCGCGAAACTGGTGAGACGCAACTTTCAAATGATGCGCGTAGTAAAACCTAGTAACCCGTCGCGTTTCATCGCTTTCGGTATTTCAGCTGGGTGGAGGCCTTGCTTGTGGAGGGGCTTTTTTGTTTTTTTGTAGAATAATTTGAAACTTTGGCCACGATGACTACCAAAAGTAGAGTACTTAAATGATCCCAAACGCATCAACACAATTGATACACTGAGTGTTGCCATGGTTGCAAACAACATAGGTCACGCGACTCAAATTGTTGCGGGAAATTCCATGGGAGTCTTACATAGAGCAGTACCGAACCACAAATTCAGCCAAATCTTTTGGAAAGAATGAACAATTGCAACGAATTATCGCCCCAAATATTCGCCGCATAGAACGAAGTTTCGCTCGAAAGTTTGAGTTGCATTAACGCCATCAAGGAATATGTCACCGAAAGTTCGATCCATGCCTCGAAAATTCGCAGAAATTTCGTTGAAGTTTCGTTTCGGTCAAGAATTCGTTGAAAAGCTAGGAATTTCGTCGAATTTCGTCGACAGGTGTTTGCATTACTTTTGCACAATACTGTACTTTTTTAATATCTGCAATTTTTATTTACTTTTAACAATTCAATATTATTTTGGATTAGGACCTCTCTGTAGATCACCAACAGGTGAGAGAGCTTCCTGTTTAAATATCATCATCAAATTGTTGACCATCACTAGTGACAATACTAGACCAAGTTTTGATCCTTGAGGAACACCTACTTTACACCTTTTGCTGTTCATTTATACAAAATGTACATTTATTTACGTCAACAGCTGAAGCTTTATGGCAAATATATGTTCATTAGCATTTTCATGCATAGTATGACAATCAATGGCATATTAGAGAGATACAATAATACAATTTGCATGGAGACGCACAATCAATTGCACCTTTGTACAAGCATTTATTCAAAATGGTCAATCGTTAACATGAACTGACAAACACTGGTGTTTTTCGAATAAACAATTGAAAGAAAAAATATTCATTAGTGTCATTCATCATAGTTACATGTATTTTAAAATACTGAACAAAAATACAAGAGTATGTACATTATCATTTAAATTTTATGGTTTTTTTTTGCACAACATTTTGCTGAAGCAGATATTAAATGAAGAACATTTTACATGTGCAGTTCACTGTAAGAAACAGAGTACCCTGTATGAACAAGTAGATGCATTGGAGACAGAAATAACTGAAGAAAATCATGCCATCAAGAAACAGAATCCAACTTGAACAGTGACAAAGAATTATTCAAGCCTTCAAAGATGGTAATGAAGATTACTTGATGGTTGCCGCTACTATCAGAGTGAACCAATCAATGGCAAGAAGTATCATTGCACAATACTTGTGAGAGGGAAGGATTGTGGAGAGACCATGAGGAGGAGCAAATCATGTTCGAGTAGATGATAAAAAGGGGGAATTTCCTGAATAACATTTTAGATGAAAATTGACTGCTAACACTAGCACAGATTAATCAAGAATTGAGACAGCATCTTCCAAGAAAACCAACAATCTATGACCGTACACTGTAGCAAGAACACCTGAAGGTATGTTGTATCGTGTAAAATTGGCAAGGCCACTCCCAGTTGAACGAAACCACCCTGATGTTCTGCAAAAAGAGTTGACTATGCCAACTGGTTCATGCACCATTCTGTAGTGAATCATAGAATATTTGTAGACGAGTGTGGGTACAATACTTGGACAGCAAGAAGTCATGGATGAGCAAGGATGGAAGAGAGGGCATATTGACCAATATGTGGTCAGCAAGGGAGAAAAGTTACTGTAGCACTGGCAATTTCACCCACTATTGGACTCCTTTTTCACTCAGCATTTCTCGGTGGAATGAATGGACGAAGATTTAATGATTTTCTGTCACAGGCAAGGCTAACTCTCAACCCAAATGAACATGTGATTTTCATTTATGACGGTGCACCAGCCCACAACAATCCTGCCATTCCTGGTCCTAATTCTGGGCTTAAAAAGCCACCACCATACAGCCCCTTTCTAAACATTGTAGAGCAAGCAACAAGTGTCTTAAAGCAGCCATAAAAGTGGACATAAGTTATCCAGAGCAGCAAGAACAGATGAATGACAGAGCAGAGGCAAAATGACAAGGAATTGCATTAGGCAATTACAGCACTCAATTGCTACATCAGGTCCTGTAGAGAAACATAGGCACTAACACAGCTGCTAAATGTGGGCAGTGGTACAGATTTATGCAAATGTATATTCCAAGATGTTTAAATAATGAAGAAATTGAAGGAAAATTACAAAACATTACATTACAGTACACTGTGATAGAACAATTTTGAAATTTCTTTTTCCCTAGTTGATTGTTATTACAGTCTGTCACTTCACATTAATGATTGACTATTTTGAATAAATGATTGTATGAAGGTGCAATTGATTGTGTGTCTCTAAGCAAATTGTATTATTGTATGTCTCTAATACACAATTGATTGTCATACTATGCAATTGATTTCCTGTTGGTGTTAATGATCAACCATTGCACAAGATTGAAAGTATATTTGTTATGTTTGATTGTCCAAAGGTGCAATTGTTCATCTGTTGATGCTATTGAATGTTAATACATATGCAAATTGCATTATTGAAAGTTCGTTCACATTAATGAAGTTCATGAAAGTGCTCAACTGTTGACGTAAATAAATGTACATTTTACGTAAATGAACAGTAAAAGGTGTAATTGGAAGCCAGTCAGAGATCAAGTTAGGTACCTTAACTCTTTTTCACCCATTAGTCAAGAAACTTATGTGTGAACTCCTAGGTCCAGAAGTTTTTCAATTGGCACATTATTGTGTCCAATATGGTGGACTGCTTTGGAATATCAAAAAAGCAAAGGCAAGGATGGTGCCCAGATGAGTCAAGGTGCTAGAGCCAAATATGAATCATGTCAAATAGACAATATGCTGTGGAAGTTCCCTTCAAGAAACCAAAATGTTTTGGATCAGTTTCATCTTTGATTTCCTCCATCAACCATGTCACTACCTTCTGGTATTGCCCTTATGAGAGGAAACCTGAGCTTCAAAGCATACCCTTCAAAAAAGACCCTCATAATTGGGCTGCACACTTTGACTCCATGCTGAAGAAAGCTAGTTTCTTATTCTGCATCCTATGATTCTGTAAATACTATTAATGGGTATTTTTGCAGAGCTAAAAGGTCTATTAGAAAGTCTAACAATGCCTGCATCCTTACACCGTATCCAAGAGTGAAGCCTTTAAATCATGTTCCACCACAAAAGCAGGATGTGCAACTATGGCATAAAATCACCCTACTGACAGAGAACATGGCTCACACAAGCTGCTTCCAATACAAAGGAGTCATGAATTATGCAGTCATGGATACAGGTATATTATTCTAGGAGTAATAACTGAATACATAAACATGAACCATCGATGGATGTTATTTTGAGTTTCAGCAATTTTGAAATATAAAAAGTAATTGGGGTTATGTAGTTTTTGTTACTTTTCACCTCTTAATCATTGTCAACTTACACATTTTGTTGATGTATTTTATCTTAACAAAAAGAAGACTTACCGTAATTTTCGGTCGTTTACCCACACGGCCGATTACCCGCACCTGCTGATTATTGCATACGGCAAAAAAAAAAGTCAACAGATTACCCGCACTGGTGGATAACCTGCACGTTATGTTATTCAACTTTTTGGTGGCGAAAACGTGACATTAGGGTGATACATTTCAGTCTTTTAAAAGTTGTCTGATCCAACTTTCGAAAACTTGAAAGTATCTTTGTCAAGTTTAAAGGTCAAAGAAATTCAGACACGTGCACAGTTCTGTGTCAATATTAGCATGTACTTTATTGATAAAATTATACAGTAAAAACACTAGTGGCCCATGCCCAAATCTCAATGTTTCATACTTGACAGAATGCAAATTTGTGGCCACATTTTGTGCAAGTGATCGTTCAGCGCCATGTTGATTTGTTGAAAAAAAGCTGGGTGAGTGTTAAAACTTGAATTAAAAAGTACTGTTGGCGATTTCTGAAAAAAATCGATATCTCCGGTTCTATTGGGCCTAACAAGTTCCTTAAAACGGGAAAATTCTCTTTAGCTCAAGCTATTGTTAAATGGAAATTTGTTACTGATGCACCAGATATCTTTGGATTATTTTTGTCAGCATCAAAGATTTGGTTTTGTTCATCGTGCAACTATTTATGCGTGAAATAAACTCGAGTCAGCATCATGTTTTCATGCCACTTTGCGGCACTCTTAAAACAATAAAATTCATTTGAGAGGTGGAAATGCATGTTGGTGATAATTTTTTTCAATTCAACTACCAGTAGATTTTAAAATTGTCACATAACTTCCCTATTACCCGCAGTGGGGCGCGTTTAATGCAAAATCAACAGATTACTCGCAGGCAAACGGCCGGAAATTACGGTATCTTCATCATCATCAAATGTACTGAAGTATCAGTTTAATACATACTCATTATCTGAGTGAGAGGGCAGTGGGAAAATATTTGGCTCCAGGTTAAGACACAGTGTATGGATCAAGCACAACCAATGACCAAGGGCCAAATATTTTCCTGTACAGCCTGACCAAACTCAGTCAATAAGTAGTTTATATGACCACCCCAATTTACCAATTGGCTGTTGAGGAAACACAACGTTAAGACACTATAAATTTGAAGTACGAAAGGTTAGTGTCACAGTACTAAGTAACTAATATAAAACAGTTGTAATTGCTCTAGGAAATACCTTTTCCTCATCTTTGCCACCATATCCATCAAATATCTTAACAAGTCCCTTTTTCAGTGGTTCACTGAAGTCACCATACACTTGATGAATTAAGCCACAGACATGACCCGCACATCTCACATCAGCTAGCTTTAATAAAAATAAAGAAATACATTTTATTTGTCTGTTAACAAAAATCACACTTCTGAATTAATTTATGAATTAATTCAAGTTTTGGAAGGAAGTCTAATCCTTCCACATTATTTGTGTGTACCAGAGATTTTCAAATTAAACCAATTTCCTTTACACCACTAATCAGATGGATAACAAAAAAAAGACAGATTGTAAGGCATTTGATATAATACAGCTAGTAATGCCTTTGTTAATTAATTCCCTGGCCTTGTAGCTACGATTTAGTGGCTTTAGCAATTACTGAAATACAATTTGAATGTTTTTGATCCACAAAAATATTTCTCAAAGATTTATACAAAGAGAGGAACAAGGACTAAAACTTTCAAACATTCTGAACTCATAATTATCAACAAACCAGTGTTCTGTCCATTTGTTGCTTGTTCCTTTGTTATATTTTTTCTTGAACACCAATTATCAAAATAGAGTTTTTTCATTTTAATTCACCATCATGTAAATTTGGACCAAAGCAGTTCTATTAAAAGATAAAATTGTTGGTAAGATACTGGTACCTTCAATTTGGGTACACCATCGATAACTGCAGCAACCTGTTGAAAGAAACAGTAAAGAACCTTTCAGTCTTTCAGACCAAAGAAAGCTGCACAGGAACAATAAACCTCACTGAGGGATAGGGTTAATATTACTGTGTTGATTTATAATGAAAAGTGGAAGGCTTACCGCTTCCTGAACATATCTTGAGAGGTTCAAACCAGCAAATTCCTGCTCCAGAGACTCACGTTGGGCTTCTGTGATTGTCCTCTATAATCAAAACACCCCTAACTATTATTCAAAGTAGGATAAGATTCACACTTTGAGCTCCTGCAAATGATTTCAGTTGGATTTTGAAAAGCTAGTAACCAGCTAATATGAAATTTGTTCAGGCTCTATACCTTTTTTTATTCTTTTCATAAGAAAAAAAGGAACAAAATAACTGTATAAAGTTAACAATGTTGGATTACTAGTCTATATAAAATGAAAGACCATACCAATTTCTTGATGAATGCAGAATTTTTCTTCACAGAAGAATCTTTTCCTTTAAAATAAGACTCTTCAGGTCGTTGGACTGACAGAAAAATGATGTTGCAAAATTTAAATAATTAATACCCATAATTCAACAAATAAACTATTTTACATAAGCTAGAATAGCTTGTGCATATAAATAATTAAAACCAATTATATGCTGGCAACTTTTATAACTATTAAATTAGCTACACCTTATAAGTAATTGAGAGATGTGTCTATGAAAGATTTGAAATTAATTAGTGTGCACTTTCCAGATCATTTCAGTGCAACCTTCCTACCATAATTACGTTCACTGGTATAGTACATAAAATACAGTGTACTAAGCAAGAGCAAATATTGGTTAATCTAACTGATGTACATCACAAGTTTGCTTAGCCATTATTACCTTGCTCTGATATCTTATAATTCATTGTAAAACATTTCATATATCTGTGATGCACTGAAAAATAAAACTAATGCAAACTCTAATTTATTCCCCAGAGCCTTCAATGTGCAGAGGTCTTTTGTTTAACACTAGATTCTAAAAAGAAGAGCTATAATTCAAGATGCAGCACTAACCAATGGCAGAAAGATTCTTCTCCCGCAGAGCAAGTTTCTGATCAACCAGTTCTTTTGCTTCTTTCATAGCTTGTTGCTTGTTTGGTAAACAATAAAAATAGTCCACTATATTTTGTTAAAATAAACTTCAAATAAACAAAGACTTAAATCAAGATCAGTAAGAGTATCATAAAACAAACCACTTCTTCCTCTTCCTTTCTTAATTCTTCTTCATTCTCATCCTCCTTTACTTTATTACTATCCACTTTATTTTCATCCTTGAAAAATAATCATAAAAGTAATACCAATTTTATAATAATACACTGTAATACTTTTGTTTAAGGGAGTCCTGGGTGAAAAACAGGTTTAATACTAAACCAACACTGTACTCTCCACATCTCGGTAATATTACACAAAGACTATAGATTACCAACTTACTGGTCTCTATTTCAATGTTTTTGACCAATTGACAGATGTTCAATTCAAAGTATTATTTGTCAGGATATAGATAAAAACCAATGCAAACTTTAAATATTCATGTTGTTCTTTTTTCTTCGCCAATTCAAAACATGATATGAAGTAATTATCAAAAGTGCATTGATTGTTAAGAATTTTACTTCTATTAACAGTGTACTTAAATAGCAAGGGTAGAGGACGGGGCCTGGCATTAATATTGTAAAATGTAATCCTGAAATTTCAGTTAATGATATTATAATCAATAATCATTTAAAAACAATTAAGATTGGATGATTAATCTATGGTACTCAAAACAGCAAGTTCTATTGTACCTTGACATCTTCCTGTTTCAGCTGATCTCTGCTGAAAAATAACAAATAGAAAACTAATTACATCAATAACATTTAAAGTCAATACATATAACTTCAAGATACTAAAAAGAGGTATGAATTACCTGACACTACACTTACTGTGTTATAAAGCAATGTCACAGTAAATAATTGCCATTTACAAATAAACAAGTATCTTAGTAAATTATTAAGAAATATAGTGCTATTAGGGACTAGAATAAAGACATATTAAAAATATTGCCAGGGATCAATTCCCAGGATATCAAAATTAAAAAAAAACATTCTCAGACATGATTGGTTACAGGCTGCCTGATTAGCTCACTGACAGGACAGTGTACCAGAAATGCTTGAAAAGGAAAGTAGGGCAGTTTAAGTATCAGCCCTGTGTAGTAAGACTGCATAGCTCATTTCCATGCAGTGTTAACTAGAATATTAATTTTGGCTCACTTTTGCATGGAAACAGTCAACGGATTTGTTTCTCAAATTTTGACACAGTTTTAATTAATAGATCTCTCTCACTTGTTCATTTTTTCTACCGATACCAGGTCTCAAGGGAATTCTCAGCTTTATCCTTTTTAAGAGCTAACATCAACATGCATCAGACAAACAGTGGCAAGTCACCCAAAATTTGCTTTCACTCATACTTTCATATTTTGTAGCCCAATATGTCCTAATAATTGTGGTGTAGTTTTTTTGTGTGAAAATATATTTTAGTTTTTGAAAAATCTTACCTTGTTTATTTATGATTTTATATGACCAATAAGCTGTTTTGGTTATTAAATTATGCTTGGGTATTACTTTTTTCCAGGAACCCAGGGTTTATGTTGTGTTTTCCCCTACCTGATTACATCATAAGCTAGTCACGCAATAATTGATCCCAACACAAATGAATATTCACCCTGTATGAAGATTTTTGTTTATGTTGAATTGACAATATTTGCATGTCACTTTTGTGGCCACTAATTGTTGTTTCAGTAGCAGCGTAGCAGTTAAAAGTGGGTTGTTAGGTGCTGACAGGGTGGGTATTGACCAATTCCCAATCGAGACCTAAGTCTGACGGGATGCGTAATTTTGCACAAGGTGGTAGTATGAATTTTCTAGACATCATGTGTACTATCTGTGGTACACACTTGCCAATTTCCCAATCGGCTTTTGGAATCAACTTAACCCTACCTTTACCATGGCTATACACTTTAGGCACTCTACAACTACTAATAGAACCACAACTCCACCCAACACTGGTAACAAGATTTGATCTATGAGTGGGGCAGATTGTAAAATCATCCATATCTTTTGACATCTTGAAGATGCAGGCTCGCAACAAAGTAAGATCAACTTCAGTTTCTGGATCTCCCCAAGTGACTTGAAATGTATTTTTTACAACTACACAAGGGAACGACCTGAGATATGCAACATAGGTCTTCTCAATAACTATACCCAACAGTCCCACCAGTGAACGATTTAAATGAACAGCAAATCTCCATGTTGGCGTGTAAGATGACACGCTTGTACAACAGATCAATCAGCTAAATCAGTATGTAGCTTTTCAATCAAATTGACTTTTGTGGACATTCTTTGACTTCTGCTGGCAAAGGAATCATTGATGGATCTGGACAGTTTAGTTTTCTGAATACAGTAATTCTTGGAAGGTTTTTATAGATATGCAAAGAGGGAAAAAACCCATCTCTTGGTAATTTCAGAGGTTGATTCATCTCTGAATTTACATGTCACGCTTGTCATGCAACTGATATAATAATGTGGAGAAGATTTATAATCTGGCTAAAATGTGGTAGGGCATAACTTGGTCCTCTAAACAGCTAATAAAATCATTAATAAATAAGGTAAGAGCGCTGTGTTAGATATTTTTCACAAATTTTAAATTTTGCCAGACTTTGAGTTTGTCTCACAATAGAACAACACAAATACACAAGGAAATTTTTACAGTAACTTTGTAACCATCCTTTTGTCTTTTAAATGCTAGAAGCTCAGTAGATTCTGTCATATTGGTCATTGTTAAAACTGTTTTTGTTTTGGTGCTAATTTTTGACATAGAAAAAGTATGTTGGACAAAATATTCACCAAAAAATAAATATTTCTTTGCCAGCTACAATAATGACAGGGGATTAAGTTTGGATGATGAAACAAAGGAAAGGTTGACAGAAATACCAGAGGTCAAGTAAATTCGTTACAGGAGGTCACACCACTTGGGTAATATTCGCAGTGAAAATTTGCATATTTGAGCAGTTGAACAAAAAAAGTAATTTCTTGAAAACTAAAATAAATTTAATCACAAAAAAACTACACCACAATTATTAGGACGTATTGGGCAACAAAATATGAAAGTAAGAGAGAAAACCAATTTTGGGCAACTTGTCACAATATTTCAAATTTGTTAGATGGATGCTGACATCCTGTCTTTAATTATTTGTACATATGATCATGAATAGAAGGAAACTTAAAAGAAACAGTTCTCTAGAGAACAGTGGAGCCTCAATTTAACAAAGTGCCAAGTGACTGGGGATATTGGATCATTGTCCTGAGGGTTCATTATAATGAAAACCTTAATTTAATGAATTTGTAGAAAAACAACCAAATTGTTCATTACATTGAGGGCTGGTTGATAACTACCTTTTTAATTTTTATTATTTATTTCATTTTTTTGTTTGTTTGGTGGTTTGATTTCCCCCTTCCCAGCATTTTGGGATCAGAGCAATTTCTGTAAATAACATTTGTGCTTTAATGTCTAGTTGAAGCTAGAGTAACCTACACAGGTTGGTACATAGCCACAGCACCTTATTTTTAAAGCAAACGGGAAAAATTTCAGTGGAAGTCACTGGCAAACAGTGATGGATTTTGATTCTTGGTGGTCTGCTCACATTTATCTCATGTCACATAATGACATTTGCTTGTCATATTGTAGTAAATTATTTGTTTGGGCTTCTAGATTGTGTTCATTAAAATGAGGATTTTGTTATATTAAGGTTCTTTTCCATACATTTTACTGTAACTTTGGTCGGACTGAAGAGTATCATTCATTATACTGAGGACTTTGTTATGTAGAGGTTTGTTAAATCAAGGTTCTACTGTATTATTACATGACCTAAAATTGGTAAACAAAGAAGCTAAAGAGGTCTACTGGGAGCAGGACTTTACGCTGTCTACTTTGTCAGCAATCACGCCAATGATTAACAAATTGGACTTTTGCTTAGTAGCCATGCAATTTTGATTAATTTTTCATTAATTTCATAACAGATCAAACTGAAATCCACTTGGTCCCATTACCTTTAGAAATGTGTCTGGTTGAAAATGATTTCAGATGAATCAAGACTAGCTTTTAAATTTAAAAGAATTAACCTCCTCTGATGAATCATATCACAAAAAATTTTAGTTTCTTACCTAAAAACATTTATTTTCATTGGTTGCATTTTGGAAAAAAAGCATTTGTAACTATCTGCACCGTGACCCTGCACCATTTAACTCATGTTACACTTGATTGACAATCACTCAAAAGTGATGAAAATGATTTTAGACTGAGCTCACAAATTCTCGTCATGCCAACAGCAACATTTACAATAACCAGTTTCGCTGTACTTTAGTGAATGCAAACCTTTATATTTTCTATAGAAAAAGAAACAACCCATCCACCAAACACCCAGTTTGATATTGCATTTCTAGGAAATTTTAAAGGAAGGATGAAAATCAACAAACGGAAAAAATAACCCAAACAGAAAGGTGTTTATTTTTTAATTTTTTTTTTTTTCGGAAAGCAATCATCATTTGGAAAAAGCCATATTTTCGTAAGCCATACCGAATTTGCATTGTTGTTTGACTTCTAATAATACCTGCAAGATTACTTTTGAAAAGAAATTGTTTCTCAGTGAAACATCTTCGTCATATCAGCGCACACTGGTTCGTGAAGGAAACGAAATGCGACTTACAAGCTGGAATATAATCATTTCAATTTCAAAATCCAGCCGCCACATTGTGGCAGCTAACGACGGCGAGAAGTTTGTAAGGACATGACCTTACTTTGAATTACATGCATTACAGGAAAGGCTCATTTTTGGTTAGAACCTTACTCTCATTAATCAATACCTTTCATTTTTCTCCATATGTGCACCACGTTGATTTTCTGGAGCTGAAAGGCCCTCTTCATTTTGAGCTTTCTCTTCTTTTACTTTCCCACTGTTTTCCATCGCCTGGCGGCAGTTTCCCAGTGCACAAGCTTTGCCCCCAGAAAGTTGCTCCACTTCCCCACATTCTTCCTTCTTTTTTTCCTCATTCATGGAAAATGCCCAACGCTTTCTTTTCTTTCCACATCGAGGGAGAATTGGGTCAGTGCGCTAGTAATGACACTAGTGAAGGAAAAAATTTTCCGCCATATTTTCACGCCTCCGCACTGAAGATTTCCGTGAGTTCAAAGCAGTTTTCGTGACCTGGTGCCGCATTGAGTACCAGTCCATTTTCAACATTTTCACAAGTAATGGCGGCGGGTAAACGAGAATTCCAAGGTTACAATTTTCCCTTCTCTGGACAAGAGAATGTTTCTCAGTGGTTTGTTGACTATGGTAGTCCTTCAATGCTAAACTTACACTTAGAAGAACATGGCAAAGAGTTAGTCGTATATTCTAACCGATCACACGACTCACAAATACAACAGCTGGTTGCAACCCAAACAAGCTTGCCATTTCTTGATCCTAACCAACGTTCTCCGGCAATAAAAGGGGAAAGTTTTACTGATTATGAACTAAGTGTACGCTCACATGAAAATTGGATTAGTTTAGAAAAGGCTAATATACATGTGGAGAACTTCGCGGCAGATCATCCCGGCGTCATGTACTCGACTTTGACGAACCTTGCCCAAAATGAATTGAAGCGTTCTCCGTGGGGAACTTGTGGTGCGCTCAAGTCAAATTTCTTTTTGCCGTGGAAGGTTAAAGAGGCTTGGTGTAGATGTAAACTGTGCTGTTATTTTCGGCAAGGTTTTGCTAACCGAAAGAGTAATGCTGCTCGGGTTATGAAGGATTTGGAAAGTGCATTGCCAGATATCTCACCTTTTTTGTTGTATGATCTTTTCCAAGAAAGTAATGCGTTAGAGACGACAAGATTTCAGTACGATACTTTCCTAGGAAACTGTCTTTCCTGTCATCCTTTGGAGACCAACAATCAGGGCCTTCTTATGTATCCAAGTGGTCGTGGCTTAGATGTTTTGAATTTACTACATATCTCAATGGATCCTACTCACCTGATGTTTGAAAGAAAGGAGAGTGGTTCAGTGTCTCTTACATCAGTACTTTCAAAGCAGCAGTTTGCAATTCATGGTCAAATAAAGCAGACTGATTTCTCTGCCTACAATCAAAGTGACATCATAGTGGGAGTTCGCTCACAATATAATTGCTCATTCTTCCAGAGTAATCTAAGCACGTATAGAGAAGGGGTGAGTAAACCATTGCGGGTACAAATTTTATGTGACCTCTGAAAAATACTTGTGCCAAGTTGGTGGGAGTTTATTTAAGAGGGAGAGTGAAAACTAAACGACTGACTGGTGAGTTTATTCCAGATTAGTATAATGCTATGGTTCAATTTTATTCATAGTTTTAAATTTATTTTCCTTTTTCACTCTTATTCATCATCAATTACAACACCAAAAGACAAAAGAAATTGTAATATTTAAATTAAGGAAAAAACTAAACCAAAAAATATACATGAACAAGAATGAATAGAAAATGTGTTATAAACTGTTAAAGTGAGAGAGACAGAATAACTGATATTGAAAGTATGCTTCTAGCTTGTTGAGTCACAGAAGGAGTTCATTCACAGGATGGGTAGGGAAAGAGTAGCAAGTCCTATCCAACCAGTGGGTCAGCTACTGCATTATTTGACACATCACCATGCTCCCTGATACATTGGTTAAGGCTGGTTTTTCTTAATTCCATTCTGTATGAGTTATTGGGAAGGCTTAAACCAGGAACTACTAGATTATAACTTCAATAGGTTATTAATAATGGTAATAGGATGGAGTGGAGTCCAGTTCAGTTTGTAATCATACAAGTGATTAATGAAATCGAACAACTGCAAAGTGGGAGTCTGATTTGTTGATCACAAGTATGATTACAGACAGAATTGGACAACAAGAAGTCTTGTTACCAATTAATCATGACCATTTCAATTTCCCAAAACAAATACACCTGGAACAAATATCTCCAGTGGAAACAATGTCTTCAGTTAAAAATTCCTTCATTTTGGAAATTCCCCAGTTTTTCTTAGAATAAGTGGTTGTTGTTAAGGTTATTTTGATCATTTCTGTGATTGATGGATTAGCTGAGTGGACTTAGTATGATTGGCTGCTTCAACTGTTCAATTACAGGTATTCTATTACAGCCAACTGTTTGATTACACTGTCCGATTACAACTGTACAGAATGATTGGTGAAAACGAAGCTGGGAATGCACCAATAATATTTGAGGAATTTGTTATAGTTATGATTAAAGCTGTAATCAAAATTATCACAAAATTCTTGAATGTGATTGGTTATCACCAGCCTGATTTAAGCACTAATGAGAAAGTATACGCATCATGCTTGCAATTGGACAGTGACACGTAGTGGTGACATGTAGTGGACAGTACTTGCATCATTTGCATGTTGTCATGCATTTTGCCAAGTCAATTGTAGTTTATCTATGAAAATGTAGAACCAATGCCTGGTTTTTTTCTCAAATTTTGTCATAGTTTTTATTAAGTGGTAGCAAGACTTCATACCATCTAATTCTGTCTGTAATCATACTTGTGAATAACAAATTGGACTCCTGCTTTGTGGTCGCCAAATTTTTTTAATCATTCATATGATTACTGACTGAATTAGAATCCACCCAGTCCTATTATGGTAACCATTAATTATGATGCAGTAACCATAAGGGTACTAACAAGAAGGAGAAATAGCTGCTCTCCCAACATAGTTGATAAATTCACCTTTCCAGGTTGGTTTGGGTCATTTGGCTGATATGAGAATATATTATAAACTACCTCAAGCTTGGGTATGCATGAATGACAAACTCAAAACTGGTCAACAATGTGGAGTGAGAATTTAAGACCAGTTTTGGTGCACAAAAACAAAATGAATTCACTCCCAGATTGCCTACAGCCCTTATTAGCTATCATGCATGTTTAAATTGCATTGGACTGGTGAATTTTAATTATGAATTATTCCCCAAACACTGATACCAAAGAAATTCCTACATGAATAATGCAAGAAAGTGGAAGACATTCATAACAATGAAGTGGCAGCAAGGCTTAGGGGTGATTTTTTTCATAAAATGAGATAATCAAGTGTTTGAAACTTGCTCTGGATGAAAAGTTTAAAACTTAATGTTTGTGTTTTGTCCTCAGCTATCTATAAGGCCTTTAGAGACATTAGCTCTCAGTAAACAAGCCATGTGTATTGCTGTTAACCCCTACATTCCTGGAGAAGCCATCATTGTGACAGAAACTGGTGGAGTGTACTTGTGGTCATGTGACCACTCTCTACAGACTGTTCATCAACCTAACTCTCCCAACAGTCAAGAGTTGTCATGGTACCAGTGTGTCTTTGCTGCAAACCCTCGGTGCATAGCATTGGCAGATGCAAAAGAGATGAACTTGATGGATTTCAGGGTAGGATGTAGTAATTTTTTCATGTGTTTAGCATGATTATGATAAGTGATAATTACATGGCAGGCCTATGGCAGATGCATTAAAAACGTGCCAAAGTGTGGTTATAGTCAGATTTGGAAATTAGTCACATGCTTGTCGAAGTGAAGCCCTGTTGACCAAACATAGTATCCCTTGTTGCTGACATTTTTTTCATTTTTGAAGGAGGCAATGCAATAAATTTGTTGTTTTCAGCATATAACCAAGGACTGTAGGTAACAATCAAGGCATCCCACATTAATGCCTTCAGGCATAATGTTGTTTTATCATTGAAATACACAGTACAGACTTACAATTTTTCATCTTACTTTTTGTGACAAATGATACCTAAACAACATTTTTGTTTCTTTTCATAGGCTGGAAAATTGTTCCAAAAGTTTTTTTTCTCCATCCCATCACCCGAAGTTGACTCCTTTGAATGTGTGTCTGCAATTCAGCGTCACCCGCAGAATACCCACCACTATGTATTGGCCACTGATCAGTCACTTTTGCTTCTAGATGATCGATTTCTTCAACACCCAGTCTTAAAGTGGAGACATCACAATGAAGACCCAGTTCAGTTCATTAATGTTAATTGTGATACAATTCAAGGGTGCAATGACACACGGTTGGTGATTTCTGGATCAAATCATCAACAGACTCACTGCTTTCAGTATTTTGAAGGCGAGTCCCAAGCAGGAGATGTCATCCCTTTAAACAAAGAAGAGTGTTATTTGCCACCTCAATCAACAACTCTTCCATGGAAGGTAAGTCAAACCTCTTTTTTAAGAGCTGCATCCATGAATGGGGTAATTCTGAGCAAAGGTTTGTCTCTTTAATGGTATAGCACAAAGGCATTATTGGGCTTTTTTTTTCTCATTTGAGACAAAGTTGTGTCCCCTGAATAGAGAAGCCTAATGAAGTGGCTTTCTGTCTGCACCAGGGCCTAGTTTTCCAAAGGAAGGATAACCCTATCAAATGGATGAATTGTTCTTCAGAGGATAACTGTTAACAAGATACACTGCACTGTCAACCAAATAGAGATTTGTCCAGTGGAATATTGTTATCCACCACTCAAACAACCAGACTACAGTCCTTAGTAGGGTTGAGGGTAAATAATTATGCACAGGTTACATTTGTGGTACTAGCATTCTCTTAATGCCAGTTGTGGCTGGATAGGTTTGATGTATCAAAATAATCTTGTAAATGACAAGTGTTTTTTTTGTGAATAGGGCAGCAAGAGGTTTTGTTATAGACAAGGTTAGGGCTTTAGGGCCTTGGTAGTACACCCCAAAATATCCCATAACTGAACCCTTGGAAGGTAGACCCACAACTATTTCAGGATTTACTGAGCCTTAAATAGCTTCTTCTTGTTGAAGGTATCATCCTATAGTGAGTGGTATTACAAAGGGCTCAGGAATGGCCTCACCTCCTCACCAGCAAGTGCTTTTCGCTTGTCAAAACCTCTCATTGGCATCTGCACCCTGTTACACACCTCCCATCCTCAAAAGGGTTTCACTGTCTTTCAAATGTCATCTGTTGGTGATTTATTCTACCAGCCATTTGTTGTACGAGATGGCAAAAATTCAACAGGAAACTTTTCCTCTAATAATGAAAGTGCTACAATTGCTATTGATGACCTTGATCCTAGAGCTAAGATTCTGTGTCAAGAATGGATTGATCTTGCTAATTTTCAAAATGAAAACTTTGTAAAATCTGCTCAAAATCAAGAAGAATGCATCGAGGTTGACATTGAAGCTCTTTGTGATGAAGTAGCACTTTTGCCAGAGTCTCATCCCCGTTGTGTATTGTGTAATAACAAGCAAGTTCCTAACACCATGCTGCTGGAGCTGACAGATTCTGGATCAAATATTTGTGAAAGATGTGGACTGGGGTTGAGTCACAGTTTAAATCTGGTAAAGAATCAAAAGAACAAAGGGGTTCTTACAAGAGAGACTCTATGTATGCAATTTGAACCAAAAGAGCTGGGAATTTTTCCAGATAAAGCTACAGCTACAGACCCTCTCAGTAAAAGTCTCTGGTTAAATTGGGCAAGTTTTGAACCAATACCAGTTTTCTCATCAGAGGAAAAAGGATCAGAAAATAATGAAACTGAGAAGAAAAATGAAAAAGGAAACATGGTGCCATCGCAGGCTGCAAGGGTCTCAAAATCAAAAGATCTGTTATGTTCTGTTAGACAGAGCAGTGAATTTGATGGTACTCTTCCTACCAATTCAGTTCAAAATCAGGGCACACCATCTTCACCCCAACCAAAACAAGTGAAGAAACAATCAAAAGTGAAGAGAAAACAAACTCACCATGTCATGGGCTTCTAGACTTAGTTTGAGCACTAATTTGAGTTATGCTAAGACATTTTGAAGGTTGGTCATTTGAAATCATCAACAATGATGTGCAAAGTGTATCATTTTGAAGACAGTAATCTTCAAACTTCTCTTGTAGAATTGTTTTCATAAAAAGATCCAAGCATTATTTGATAAATGTCAGATAAATTTATCTTTGAATAATTATGAGAGTGATGTTTGCAGTTATGAACACTACTTAAGCAGTAGTGAAAATAAAGCATGAAAGCAAAATTCATTCCTGTATAGGAGTTAAACCCATGACCTTTGTGATAACAATGCTCTACCAACTGAGCTAGCAAGCCAACTGGGAGCTAGTAAATTCTCTGGTTCATCATGAACCCATGAAGTAATGAATAAATGACTGTGAATTTGTGAAAATCATGTAACAGTATGTGAACCACAAATTGATAAATAAATATGGGAGTAATCTTTGCAGTAATGAATGCTATTGTACTTAAGCAGTAGCAAAAATACAGCCTGAAAAAATTCAGGTGTGTACAGGAATTAAACAGGAATTGTACCCATGAACTCTGTAATTCTGGTGCTTTACTCTTACCACCAACTGAGCTAGCAAGCAAACTGGGAGCAGGTCACTTTGTTGGTTCTTAAACCTGTGAAATGATGAATTACTATATCACTTCACTGGTTTATTATCATGGCCAAATCAAACATAAAACTCATAAGATTAGAGAAAATGATGGTCAACTGTAGCTCTTTACTGTTTAACAAATTCTCCTGGTCAGTAACACTAGAATAGTAAAGAGAAGAGTGACAAGAATGTGCAGGTGTGGCCCGAGGGTAGGAGAAGATGGTACACCACAAGTCATACTACATAGAGCTTGGCAAGAATGATGTGCAACTCAAATCAAAAACAGCCCTTTTAGTTGATTTTGTCAGGTCCTAAGGGGTATGAATTCTTCATCAGTGTATGGTTTTGGGGGTTAAATATTTGATTCAATGTGAGAGTGGTGATGATTTTTACAACCTTGCCCGTTTTCAATCTATACCTATACAAGGTAGCATAATGTGTTTTTTTCACTTGCAGTTTTGGTCATCTTTGTCATCAGTTTCTGTACTTGCAAGTATGTTTTCCAATTTTGGTATCAATTGTGGTGTTAGAGCCATGGACTCGTCACTCTATCTTGGTTCAGATCATAACTTTCAATGGTTCCTCTTTTTATAACATTAATGTTAATTTTTGGTTTATATAAAAACACTCTCCCTTCACTGACATCATTTTAGAGATCAAACAACAAAAGAATACTACTGTTGAGGGACACACTGGTGCACCATTGTTTGAAAAGAAATTTGTGTGGGCATGCTTAATTGTCACTACATGGGGCATCATGCTTGTGGACAACTCCCTGAGACAGTCTTGTTGGGAAAGCATATGCACCAGGCTTATCTAAAGCAATCTGATTTTGTATGCACCAGTTTCACAGCACTGCATGCAACAGTCAGCACTACAACCATGCGTGGTGAGTTCCAAAAAATCAATTAAATGCTAGGTGGTGCATAAGGCTGTGGACACACAATATCCTGTTGAGTAAGCTATTCACTGCAGATCCCTCAATGTGTAGGAAATATTTATAGTGCAATCTGACCCTAAGCCAAGGTATCGTCACCCAACCATTTGCTTTTCCCCTAGGGCTAATGCTTGAAGTGTCAGCTTTAGAAACTCTTTACTATGGCCAGTTTGCATTACCAACTCCACTGATAAAATCAAATTATCTTGTTATAACCCCTTGGATGCCACACCACAGTTTCTTTTGAATCTTATCCCCTTTGATCATCTTTCCACGTAGTCCTGGATAGGGGATGGGGACTGCTAACATGGAAAAGGCGTTAGAGATTGTAACTTCTTGGTACCTAAATAAATAATAAACTTGCAAATGAACACACATGTGACAACACTATTTTGATGGCATCAAAGGAGTGTGAAATTCAAAAACATTGTTACAACAACTTCCTCCCACCAATGTGGAATACAAACTATTAAAAACAGCCATAAGAAAAGAATGGTCAGCTTGAAGTTGAGTTTGCATCGGAACTATCAACAGAAACCAGCGCTGAGTAATTTTCTTCGGACAACATGGTATTTTCTTGTCCATTAATAGTCTTTTCAGTTTCTAATTTCATGTTTAACGAATCATCTTCTTCATCAAATTCATCATCTTTTCCATAAATTTCAGGAAACTTCACAAAACACTCCTGCATGTCACGAAACTGTGGAATACAGTCAGAACCCTTTGGATCTGCTTCGCTGTAATGAAAGCATGAGAATGCTGCTTTGAATTGTTCTCCACAAGGCCCGTATGCCATTCCCTGCAAACAAGGGCAATCCCAGTTTATTTCGCCGCTTTCTGTGATCAGACCTTCTAATTCTTCTTCGTCATCTTCGCTCAATGTCACCGAGCTTGGGGTCGCATGGTCTTCCTCAGTCACGAAAATCACTTTATCTTTACCTACGATTGGAAATACGAGTTACTAGATATTTATTAAATAATTATTTTAAATTCATGATAACACTTTCTTACCCTCTTCTCTGCAGTAAGACATAATTTTGGAGGATGGAGTCGGCTACGAAGTTACGCCAGGAAATATGGAAATATGCCATGTGCGATTCGATTCCAGTACACCTCCGTTATAAAATGAGTAGGCAAATATGAAGGTTAATGTAAGAATGCAAGGAACATGGCGGATAGTCGAAAGAAAGGTGTATCGTTTTCTTTTTCCAAGAAGGTTTCTACAAAAAACAAGTCCGAAAAAAATGCCTTAAATTCAGATGATGCTAAGGCTAAAAAGGAAGAAACTGATTACATTAATGCTGCTGAGGGGAAAGAACTGAAAAGGTAAACTCAACATTTGACAATTACAACATCTTCATCTGTCTTCATGTAATCAATTATTCTGAAATATTCAATCATGAACAGAGTTGACGATAATTTGAATATGCAGTTAAAAAACAAACAACAATTAAGACAATTGATTAGTCGTTTTGCTATTTTTAAGTATCAAACCTGAGGAGAAACCAAAAGAGAAAGTTATTCCTTGCAAAACCAAAAATCGATGGATTCTTTCAGAAGATGCCAAGTTTGTGGACAGTTTGGATAGACAGGCTGCTGAGGAGCTTTTAAAAGGTGAAACAAACGGTGTTGAACTTTAAGGTTACTTCCCACCTTCAGAGGCCGAAAAAATAGATTTTTCTTTTATCTGACAAAACTGAATTCAAGCATTCAACTTAACGTTCCCATAAAAAAAAATTCTGAAATCTTTAAGAGCAGCCGAGTTATTTAGAAAAACGTATTTTTAAATAAAAGCTAATAAATCTCAGGCCTGGGCGAATTCCCTGAGGGAATTTTCGCGGCAACCGCTCATGTTTGGGCTCGATTTTCATGTTACTTCTATATTTTGTTTACATCATGCACTTTACAAAATTCACTAGTGGAAGCTCTTTGTTTATGGAAAAGTCTTTGCTCATGAAGCAATCTAAAATCTTACATTTGATTTAGGAAGGAATACAACCACTTTGAGCGAATTTATAGGGTACATTGATTTGACCAATTTTCATCAAACTTCACCAAAACATCCTAGGAATAATGACAAAGGAAAGTGTGTCGGGAAAATTTTGATATTTGAAATATTTGTCCCATGGCATCCATTTATGCAACACAAATCATGTATTTCTAGCTTTTCCGACTTTAGATGCCAATATCTAGACAACCAATCAGAATATCAGAAAAGCCTGATATACTTTTGTTGATCGATGCCTTGTGAATGAGACTGTGCAGCCATTTTGCTCGTGCTGTGGTATCCAATACCTGATAAATAAGAACCTTCAGTTGTTTCACGTCTTACCAGCTCCTGACACTCCCTTAAAGAAAAGTCCCTTAAATTATATTTTTATCACAAATTGCAGTTATTAAGCTTTCTTCCAAAGTATAGTTTGCTAGGATTTAGTGAAACTAGTGTGTATACAAGTTTTTTCGTTAAGGACACCCAAGAAGGTGGGAAGTAACCTTAACAATTCTACTGTCAATTGTATTCTGGTATGAGAAAATTTTATTTGCTCTGTTTTATATTTTCAAAGTAGAATAGCCATAAAATAGCCTTTAAATCATGTTTTGGCCAAGTTCCTGGGGATTGAAAGCTTTGTTTTCAGATTTTTACCCTCACAGAGTAGACATGTAACAAGTGTAGACATGCAAAAAGAAACAAACACCATCTAAAGGATGTTAAATACCTGTCCCTTCATACAGCTCTGTTATTTTTTAAACAAGCACAAATGATTGTTGATAAGATTTTCAGCCAATCAAAACATGTTATGCATGTGTATCAGTTATTTGACCAGATTTTCTATACTCTTTCAAATGCAGCTGTTTCTGGAGATGATACTGAAGGTAATGAAAATGAAAATGTAAGCATTCCACTGTTGATGAGAAATCCTTTACCTGACATTGAAGGATATGAAAAGAATGAGAAACTGGACATCGCATTACGGCCTGAACAAGTTAGTATTGATAGGTTTCCTAAAGGGTATATGAAGACTGACAAATTATTTTTCTATCCTTTGTCAAGAAGCATAATTATGTGTTGTAACTTGATCAGTAGCCTTCTCCTAGCGCACAATGATTATATAGAACAATTTTCAACATTAACCTGTACAGTAGTTTTAAAAGTGTGCAGCATGTATTCTTTAGTACTAGGTGCAAGCCTATGAAACATGCAGGGAATATGAGAAAAACAATATCTTCTTACAAATGTTTTGGTGTTAAGTGTTGCCAAATATAAGCGCCATGTAGGGGGACGTTGTCTGGACATTGCATTTACATATAAATCATAAAATGTTTTAGAGGTCTAGGGGTGCATGATCCATCCACTTGTTTGAGGGAAAGTCAAGGCTCCAAGTTTGACTTCTTTCAAAGGACCATTTGGCCAGCAATAACACCTTAGAAACAGAAAAGCCAAATGTGAAGTTATTAGAGTCCTTTCAGTTGAGCAGTTGAAATCTTACTTGAAACCAAAGGCATTGTGTGAGGTCTTTTGAAAAGGTGTACAAGCAAGTAGAAAATACTGATAACAAAGGTGCTCCAAACTTAGGGGTCTAGCATGGGGTTAGGGGCATGCTCCCCCTGAATTTTTTTTAAATTTAGAGTTTTGGAAATGCCATTTCCTACATTTTATGTTGGGCATTTTCAGTAAAATGATACAAAGGAAAATGCATTAGTAAGTGTGCCTTGGTTTTTTCCCCATCTCCAGTGTTATTGGTACAGTTTTAGTTGATAAAACCTCAGCCAGAAACAAAGTCTTCTAAGGACTAATTTTTCATTCCCACACTGAAAAATACAGAGGCTGATCAATACAGCCTCTGATGACATTTGACGAGACTTGCTTTTTTCGCTGAAGAATTTTGACTGTTGCAGTCGGCAAGATACTGAAAAATTCATTCATGACCTATCGTGTAACCAACTTTCATAGGTATCAAATTCCACCAGTATTATGCTGTTTTTTTCAGCCTGAGAAAAAATTGTTTTCTTGCTTGTGAAATTTTATTTTGGGTACTGGCTTTAGACTGGATGACAAGCATTAGCCCTCTCCCACCCCCTGTTCCCCTCCAATTAATAGATACAGCTTGCTGCACTGACAGCTAGTGTCAACTACCTGGTACATAGCATCAATGAGTTAATTTTTTTTCTCATCACAGAGCTCAATGCAAGACTATGAGGATATGCCTGTGTCTTCATTTGGAGCAGCCATGCTACGTGGAATGGGGTGGAAGAAGGGGGAAGCTATTGGAGGCACAAACAAAGGGTAATGATACACTACATAGCTATTGACATTTGAAATCTTCAGATGTGAGTGATTTCAAAGTATATGTAGCTTATTATTACTATAATAATAATTATTATTATTATTATTATTATTATTATTATTATTTCTAAGGATGATTAAAAATGCTGTATCTGCACTTAGGGATAAAACCTTTTGAAAGAAATTGCTCTCATGCAATATGAAAGTTAAAAACAGGCTTCTGAAAATTCTACACCTTGAACTTAGAAAACATCCCCCCTGTCTTGTCAATGTTCCTGTATCTTTGTTGCAAAAAGCATTTAGTCACTAATGTACAAAAGTACTATAAGATGTGGCCAATACGGATACATACAGCTGCATATCAAAATGATGTCAAACTTTGCAAGAAACTTATGTCCAGATTTAAAAAATACCCCATTCCTCTGAACTTTTGGCAAATCTGGAACACAATTAAGTCAATTTGACAGTAATCCCCCTTAGGTTTGTAATTATACTTATTCTTCAATGACATGTTTCACTTACTATTTATTTTAGGTTTACAGAACCTATAGAATATATTCCAAGATCTAAGGGTTTAGGGCTGGGGGCTGAAAGAAGAGTCATGGATGACATGATCCTTGGGAAGAAGCGGAAACCAGGAGACTCAATCACAGAAAAGGTATGGTTCTACTTATATACTGTGTTTAGATAGAATTTCAGCCTCTTTGGCTTCTCTAATACACATTTAGTGCTATGAAAGTCCTTTCAACTTTTTGCTTATAATTTTCTCGTGGTCTTTCTTCACTGAATCTGTACTAACTGTCGTAAACAGTTCAGGAAACAATCAGAGGAGAAATTATAATCTAGGCATAGAATTCTTCTATGAAATTTATATGATGTTGTGCTTAAATAGAGTTCTGGTGCTATTAAAGAAAAGGATGGTCGTGTCAGACACTTTAAAGGAGTAGGAGAGGCACTTCCTCAGGAATCATCTTTAGGTAATTATTTAGAAAGAGATGAAACTTGCATGTAATCAGTGCATATTCACAAATTAATGGCCTGCTGGCCACTACTAGCACAACCAAATCCAGATTGAGTTTTGAACAATGGTGATTGGAATCGTGATTAGAGTAGTTGTATTGTGTTCACAGAAATTGACACCAATGCTCAAAGTGACCTTTACCTCCCAAAATCACAGTGGTACATGCAAAAAATGAAGAAGAGTAGCAATGATTGTTGCCACTTGATGCTATCAAAATAAGATTATTAAGCTTTTGTAGTGTAGGCCATCTGGCTGGTTTAAAAGACGTCACCTTTGACTGTTAAGCAGCCATCACAATGTTTCTCCTTACTTTAATATTTCATTAAATTTCCATTAAATTTTCATGAATATTTTTCTAAAGCTGACTTCTGTAACATATCAGGTAATATATTATATCAGGTAATATATTACAAGCTAGCCATGGTTTTTGGGTTCTAATGTGTGGAGTTTAACAGTTTATATTTTCTGATCTTAGATTACAGACCTGGTGTAGGAGTTATAATAGAGAAAGGTCCTCATCAAGATATGTGTGGAAAGGTGAATAAAATGTCCTATTCACTGCAACATCATCACATCTTGATAAAACTGACCAATTTAGTCTTTTTAATCAGAATTGAAGTATTTTACTGACATAAAACTCTTGACTTGTCTCTGATAATGAAGATTTCTTACGGATATATGCACAGGTTGTTATAAGGTGCTGGAGTGTCACCAAAAACTGACATTTTTAGGATGACACTCTCCTAAAAAATTTTATTGAAGGAACAGTTTCTTCATGTACAGTGTACACTGTTTGACTAGAAATCAGCATGCTTTTTTTTTTGGTTTTGTAGATTGTGGCTGTAGATGTTGATACCTCAAGAATTACAATCCAATTTCATTTAAGTGAAGAGGTTAGTCTTTGTCTTATGTTTCATAACCTTCTCCAGTGGTTTACCTTTACACTCCCAACATCAGATTTACATTCAAGTCACTTTCAGCAGCTTAATATTTTCTTTTTTTTTTTCGGTAAAAGTGAACAATAGCTCCCATGTTCAGCTGTTGGTAACCTGTCGGCCAACTGTCAGCCGACATGATACTGCCACATTACCGACAGCCGGCCAACAGTGTTAACCAGACCGTACGCACCAATTTTGTATTTACCTTCTACCTAACTTGTATTTTTACGAAAATAGGCCTGTTTGGTCTATGGCAAAAAGGAAGTTTTTCAATCGCCCCATAATGCATTGCAAAACCATAGTTTACAATACTTCATGTATGTCTGATTAATCTTTCTTTTCTTGTGACAGGTCGCGATCATCGCCCTTTTTGGCGTATTGTGACAATTAAAATATTAAAGTATACCTTTTTTTGGCATTTTATTAGACTTCATTCAGGAGTGTTTTGCCTTTCTTTTAAAACCATCTGCATGCTTCATGCACATTCCTGCCAGGATGCTAGCAAGCCGCGATCAGCCAAGAACGACAGTTGACAGTTGGCCAACAGTCGGCCGACTATTGGTCGACAGACAGCTGACAATATCTTTTGGGAACTGTTCTTCACTTTTACCCTTTTTTCAAGAAAATTTGGTACACATTAATAAGTTATAGTCAAATAATAATGCTTGTTCATTTGCATAATCTATTTGCTGGAGTGGATAATGTAATGATTTTAAAAGGAGAACTTACTTGTTAATCACATCTGAGGGTGAAGTGAGGTAGAATATTAGAGAAACTCATAAGATGAGTTGTGGGATCTCCCACCATTTAGGATGATGTAGCTACCTTTAAAAATGTGAAATACTTTTTTCTTTCAGAATATCACATTACACCAGTGTAATGCTAGACTATTAGATGATATTGAATATAGGGCCCTATCAAAACAAGGTGAGAATTTTGATAGCACTACTTGTTGGAGCTAGATTAAAAAATGTTGGTCACTTTTCATTCATCAGCTCTAACTACATCAGCAACATTGCTTCTTTTCAGTGTTATTTGGGTATTAAGGGCTATTTTTTTACAAAGAAAAGCAGTGTAGAGAGTGGTTTCAACGTCATGATTCACTATTAAGACAGACATTGAGGTTCAGTTCCTACTTTGTCCTTCTTAAAGAGTGCTGACTGAGCATGCATGTATCGTAAGCAAGCTAGTAAATCAATGAAGACAGTAGTTTGTTTGTTTGTCTCTTTTAACATGCTGTGGCTAGAAATCCAACAAACTGAAGGCAAATTAGACCTTGCATTTAAGACCATGAAAGACCTACATGTGTAATTTATATGGAGATCTCTTAGAGCAATACACAAACTAACAGGCAACACTATTTTAATTGAGTAACTGATAAAAACTGCCTGCCCTCTGTTTCTCAATTGAAATGTGGGCAAATTAAATTCTTTCCCTATGTGTGTTATTCTTATTCAGAATATCTGAAAGAATTCTCAAATGAAATAATACTAATTAAGTAATACTAACCATCAGGTATTTTTGATAATTGTTTGTTTATGTGACTTAAATCTTTATGTTCCTATTAGACAAACTAAAACAAAATGGACACAAAATAAGAAGTAACAAGAGAACAAGAAATGATGAACAGGAAAGGTTAGAACATCCTAGTAATTGTTTATTGTCTTGTATTCAGTTCTCTCTTAACTTGTAAGATATAACCTTTAAATAGCTTAGAAAGTGATTTTAGGTAATACAACCTCTTCAGATGTACGTAACAATCAGAAGTGGCTACAATCAGAAACAAACCATGAGATGCTCCATTCAGCCTTCACCACCATAACTCACACCTCAACCTTCCGCAAGGCAGACTGATTTCAAACATCCCCCAATCATTGAGAAGTGCCACCTCCTTATCCTCTATCCTTAATGCAAATGGTTATACAAGCATACCAGCCATCAATGAGGAGAGGCTTCCCCCTCTCTGTAACACCACCCCCTCCTCCTACATCTGGAGTTATCAGTAGTTGTTGAGATCATATTAGAGCAACTTAAAGAAGAACAGAAATTGTATTATGAGACAGAAATTGAGGTTAAGCATTTAGACTGAAATGTCTTTTTCCTTGGTTAACTGCAGTCAAAAGTGCAAAGATAGCAAATATTCCAAGAAGAGCAAAGAAGGTAAAAGTAATTCCAGTTCACAAAAGGGAAGCAACACTCAAACCAAATGTTGGCTGTATCCACAAATAAAAGTGAGGATCATCAGCAAGAATTACGAGAAGGGCAAATATTACAACAAAAAGGTTTATTGTCTTTCTTTAACCATATCATTTTTTAATGTCCAAACCAGTAGTAAAGTTGCTTTTTTAAAAACCAATCAGGAATAATGAATAGATACTGTTACCCATTCCACCTACTGTGTGATATTTTTGTCCATCATCACACATGTTGCCTGGCAAGCAAGTGATTACCTCTTTGTACAGTCTCCTGCATGTAGATTCTTCAACATTCAGATGAGAAGTAACAGAGTGGGGACCATTTAGAAAATGGAAGTACTGTGAAACTAATTGAATTTTTATGTTTTGGTGGAAATAAATAATTGTAATCTTATGCAAAGCTTTTCTTTTATTCTGTAGGTAAAAGTTGTTGATGTAGTCAGTAGGGACAAATGTGTTTGCCAGACAGAGGAGGGAAGACTTATTGAAGGTAGATGTGCAGACTGAGTCAGAATTTACAAAGTTGGTCTAAAAAGTTGTCACTACGGACCCTCATACTAAACATAACATAACATTGGTAAAATTAGAGGCTGTCCAGCAAAGAGCAACCCAAGGGATTACTAAGTCTGATGATGATTATGATACTAGATTATCTAAGTTAAAATTATTGTCATTATCTAATAAGAAGCTCATGAGAGATGTTACCTTTTTGTTCAATATACCGGTAATTAATCTTCATTATGATAAAGATATTTCAAACAAGCTCCTACTTTGTAGGACAGAAATATAAATTACATCTTGAGAAAAAGTGACTTTGCTCTAAATTAAAAAAAATCAAGACTGAATTGTTAATAAATGGAATAGTTTACCCAATCATGTTAGAGAATCAAATAGTGTCACAGCCTTAAAAAGGAATTTTTTTTTTAGGATAATTAGAACTTTTATTTTTTATATTTGTATATACTTTTCTTACACCTTGATTAGTGGGACATCCCTAGCATGGTGCATCAGCACTTTAAGGTGTCTCCTTCTCCACAATGTTTCTTTACTGTTGTGATGAATTCAGTTTATTGTCTATTATTTTGTAATCTACAGGAGTGAATCCATAATAATTAACTTATGTTTATGTTTGTTTGTTCAGATGTACCACAATCAGCATTGGAGACAGTTGTGCCCAAGACTCTTGATTCCCATGTCCGAGTTGTTGGAGGTGATTCCAAGGGACAGGTTAGTTCCTAACCAAATCCAACCCTATGTTAACTAAAGTAAACAAAAAAATTACTTCTTTTTGAGTCTTTCAAGCCTTCAAAAAGCCTTCATGTGTCATTATTGGACAGAAGCAAATGATGTCATGAGTTTATTGTATGCAGGACATGAGAGTGATTATGCCTTTGGTTGTCAGTGATTATATGGTGTTGTATATAGGTTTCAGGTTTGGTGAGGTTTAGCTCTGTTAAGTAGCGCATTGATGTTAGTGTTGCCACAAACATGACGTATACACCAACTCTTATCACCCAGTCATCAAAGTGTCTGTAACAGTGAAAGTAGTTGACTTTACTTTATGTTAATTTAGTGGGGCTGAAGTTTGGTGTCCATTGTCTGTATAGCAGGGGTAGATGTTCCAGAGGTGTGGTGCAGCGGTAACCGGTCAAGTCGCCCGAGAGTCATCGCGCCTGAAGTCATGTCGCCCGAAACCTGAGTCATGTTGCCCGAAATTTTAGTAATGTCGCCCGAAAAAAAAAGTCAGGTCGCCCGAAGAAACAAATACTAAAAAGATCAGAATTTCAGACTGTAAATAGGCAATAACGTTGAGAAATTTTTTATCACTAAAGCGCTCTTTGTTTCCGACAATACCATGAAGATTCTTAAAGCGCTGTTCGTTCCTAAGAACAAAGGGAAACGTTGTTTGTTTCCAACAACAACATGAAGCGTTGTTCGTTTGGTATGTACTCGTTTCTTACTCACAGACATTTCGTAAGCTTGGAAAACTCTTTCTTATTTCTTAAAATGCCATGAAGACTTTGACTACACAGAAATCGATTGTATGGTCAGAATTGAAATATGTTTGAGTAACGACTCTAAAAGTGTTGTTCGTTTCTAACAACAGAGGGAAGCGTTGTTCGTTTCTATAACAACAAATGCATGGATGCAGCGTAACATACAAGTAAAGTTCTGTTGTGTCTATTTGTGACTTTCTTAACAATAACAGATGAAAACACCTGGTAAACGCGTTCGACAAGTCGGTAAAAGGTAAAGCGAGTAACATACAAATGAAATTAACTTGTTGCCTTGCGTAAGGTAAGTGTGATATTTTTAAGATAACTGGCTATTGTTTATGCTCGTGACTTTTTTCACAGCAGTAGTCTGATAGCATCATTTCCCTTAGGATCATAATAGGAAAAAATTATGTAGTTGTGCTCTGTTTCCTCAGGCGGTCGCATGTATATTTGATCCGATCAAAGTATATGTGAAAGGGGTAGAGCTAGCTACAATACGAATACAAACTGATCAAAATGAGCATTCATCCTTGCATTGAGTGTGATGATGAAGTTCGTGCACGTCAAGGTTAGAGCGATGATTACGGTCGCTCATATGGCCTTTCTGACCATATGATCGATTTCTGTGTAGTCAAAGTCTTCATGGCTTTGTTAGAAACCAAGAAATAGTTTCTCAAGCTTACGAAATGTCCGTGAGTAAGAAACGAGTACGCACCAAACGAACAACGCTTCATTTTTTTTTTTTTTTTTTTTAAACGGAGAACGCTTCCCTTAGTTGTTAGAAACGAACCACGCTTTTAAAATCATTACTCAAACAAATTTCAATTCCGAACATATAATCGATTTCTGTGTAGTCAAAGTCTTCTTGGTATCGTTAGAAACCAAGAAAGAGTTTCTCAGGCTTACGAAACGTCCGTGAGTAAGAAACGATTACATACCAAACGAACAACGCTGTATTTTGTTGTTGGAAACGAACAACGTTTCCCTTTATTGTTAGGAACGAACAGCGCTTTAAGAATCTTTATGGTGTTGTCGGAAACAAAGAGCGCTTTAGCGATAAAAATTTCTCAACGTTATTGCCTATTAACAGTCTGAAATTCTGATCTTTTTAGTATTTGTTTCTTCGGGCGACTTGACTTTTTTTTTCGGGCGACATCACTAAAATTTCGGGCAACATGACTCAGGTTTCGGACGAGATGACTCTCGGGCGACTTGACTGTAAACCGGTTCAGCTTGTCATACCAATGTGTTTTTAATTCCTTATGGGGATGAATACTTAGTTTGGTCATATGACTTCTAACTTTTAACTCTTGAACTTTGCAGTTTCCTCATTTCCACTATCATCTGTGTAACCTAATTCATAGGTATGAATTGTTTGTTCCCTGATTGGTTTAAGTTAGCATTTATGCCATCATCAGATCAAAGTCCGTAGGTTACTAAATTCTAGAAATCTCCCCAGCATCTATTTGGTGCATTATTAAAAGTACATGTTGTAAGATATGGCACATTTATTATTGTTGTCAATTTTGCGTACTGCGTTGTTCTTCATTCAGCTTGCATTGTTACTGGAGCGGAATACAACAAAGTACAGCGCTGTCATTCAACTTTTGATGGACAAGTCAATTATTACAGCGGATTACGATGACATTTGTGAACATGTTGGTGATGGTAATGAGTTTTGATGTTGAAGGAATGCCAGAGACAGCCTGCTCGGCAGAGCATTTGTTTATTTTACTGTCAGCAGGCGTCAATCCTGTTGAGCTGGCCTGTCTTGCAGGTTTGCGAGAGCTACAACCAGAAGATCCCAGAGGACATGATTTTCACAAATTCCCACTGGCCCACTGTATGCACGAATGCAAATGAGAACATGGAGCGCGAGCAGTACTTTTGACACGACACAACAGTTTATCTAGTAGGTGCCTTCACTGGCGTGGTTTGCCTGCACCATCACGTGTCTGTGATATACATCGCCATGATCGCTGTTAAGCCAAGGATGGTAGTGCAGTGAGGAATATTGAATGATAACGACAGAAGATAAAATGAAAATTACGAGCAAAACCGTTGGAGAAGATCAAGTGATATAATATGACGTTTTAGTCCAAAAAAATTTACTTGGGTGCAGCTATTCCAAAGAATGACTTCGTGAGACTGAGCTTTTATGACTACTGTCTTATATAGGAGGCAAAGCCACAGATGTCGTAGAGATGAGTGAATGAGTGAGTGTAACGATAGATTCCGATCTTGACCAAATATTTTAACCCGATGTTTTGCGGTGCTACTCATTGTTTGTTCCGGAGAATCTATGCAAAACTTACTGTTACTGTTTTCTGCGTAGGGTGTTTTCTTTTGTGTGTTCTCTGGTTGGACTTTATGAACAAACAAATATTTCCCTTCTTCCGTAACAAGCAAGGAAACGCGCTCTCATCTTGAATTAAATTTTAAACAAAAACTTATCGTAAGGTTTGAAAATTGGGGAGTATCACTTGGGTGATATCTTCGGATATCTCCCAGTTTTAGCTGGGAAATATTTGTTAACATGATGCGTTTAAACCGGTTGTGTACAAGAAAAATATTTGATGGATCCTTATCGAGGAGGTTACTCCAAGTGATATTCCCTAATTTTCAAGCTCCACGTCCATTTGAGCATTTTTTGTTTTTTTTAAAAGAAGGGACATGTTTTTTGTATTTATAAAATCGTATTAGACAAGAATGAAAAGTGAACATCCCTTGCAGTGAATGATTAGCTGTTGGTAAATTTTGTTCCCCGTAATTTGTAATAATATTTGAAGGAAATATGCTCGTTGTTTCGCACTTTATGGACAAGATTACTCATGTTTGCGGAAAACCTTTGAAAGTTCAGGAGTTGGCTGCATACTCACCACCTATTCTCATGCAAAAGCACCACTTGAAACCTGATAGATTCATTTTCTGCTAGGCGCGTCTTATGGTCGTGAAAGTAGAATTATTCTTTGATGTGATTTTTCAGTTTCGCTGCCGTCACTAGCTTGAAAAGTGAAGCAAGTGCTTTGGCAGATCGAAATTTCTCTACTAAACAAACTCTATCACTTTTAAAAAATATAACGAAACCTCTTCAAATAGATATTCAACCGTTCGTTTGTTGTTCGGAGTTGAGTAGTGACTCGGACTCTGAAAAATTCGAGCACTCAACAGCTAACTTCTTTGAAACTTCCAATTTCTTAGTTTTAAAGTTAACATTGAAATAGCCCCCTTATCAATCATAAGACATTTAGTTTAACCTATCACTCGTTTCGGAAATGAAAAAAATTTGGTTTTTTAACATTCTGTAGGTGTCAGGTACCTTTTTTTCCTTATCATCAGTTTATTCCGTTCCGTAAATTTTCTCTCTGAACGTTTTTAAAAGAAAGCGTAAATATCGATAATCTCCGCTGAAAAAATGTTCTTCCACATAATGAAAATCAAATTTTAAAAAAATTTATTTCCCATTTTCAAATTCCCATTTTATTTTCCCATTCATCATTCCTTATCTTCCATTTCCTATTTCCCATTCATCATTCCTTATCGTCCATTTCCTATTTCCCATTCATCATTCCTTATCGTCCATTTCCTATTTCCCATTCCCTATTCCTGTTCTTTGCAACATCCTGCGAGATACGATATGAGTTATTCAGTAGATTGATGGAACGGTGGAACGGAGGAATGACGGAATATATTAAGAAGCTGAATGAATGAATGTTCTAAAACGTAGAATGTCGTTTTGTTTGAAACAAAACCTTCAATAAATGGAATTGCAATAAAAGAAGAAAATTATTTATGATTTACAGGCGAAATTAAAAGAAGCATACAATTAGGTGATCTTTGTTGGAGCCCAGAGGTAGGCGTACCCAATAAAGTTGTTATAAAAAAAAAATTATTATACAACTATTGATAGTGCTTATTCACAGTTAAAATTGGTTTATTCAACAACGTTTTGGGAACATATTAAAATACAACCTGTTCTTTAAATGTACAAAATGAATCTGAGACCAAAACAATTAGTGACGAATTGCCATTTTGAAATAGTTTTCAAAAGATCAGTTTTTCACAGTTAAAAGGTTTGGTTTTGTATCAGAATCTTATAGAAAACGTGGAATGTTTTGTGGCTCCTTTTGCGTCATGATAGAGCGTGGAATGTGTGTCTTATTTATTCCCCATTCACGCCAGCTAAACATGTTCAGTCAAACCATGTTTTATAGGGTTTCTAGTCACTGACATGTATTTTAATGAGCTAAATTTGAAGTCGACAGACGTTGAATTAAGCATTGGGGTATTACTAAGCAAAGTATACTTTACTTTCTTTATGATAGACCTGCCCCAAAACGTGCATGCCAAAATCAAAGCGTCACAACTGTCAATCTTTAATCTGAGTGCTTATTTTCAACTAATATGTGGACCCGCTAAGATGAGCATACAGGCAGGGTCAGTTAAGAAAAAGAGACAAAGGCAGGTTTCCTATTGGTCAGAATAGAAGTTTGTGGCTTCTGTTTTTATTTCATTAAATTTAGGAAATGCAAGTATGGTGACTGAAGTCCGAAGTTTAGTAATTGAAAACTGTCATTTGGTAACTCTTGAAAAGGGATTATTTCATAACTCCAATGAACTAATATGAAGAAAAGAAGAAAAGTGGTTTTCCCTCCTTTGCTCTTTGAAAATAAACCTTGGAAGACCTCACAGACTATAATGAAAGGTATGTGACAGAATACTAGTATGGAAAAAAAAGGGCTTCAAAGTCGAAAAGGGACAATGAAAACGATACCTGTTGGATCTCGAACGATGAGAAATATTGATGGTTAAATGCTAGGCGAGAAAGTAACAGAGTTCGGGAACGTATTCTCTGTGGAGAAAGTGGATAGCTTTAGTCTGCGTAAATTGCACAAGAAACTGGTACAAATTACCTTGGAGCATTGTGGTCGTTTAAATGCAGCATGCCATATTGGTCAGTCAATTGCTTGCAGCAGGCAGAAAGAATATGATCGTGGAAAATCTAGGCAGTAATCCCAACCGAATACTGAGTACATTAAACAGAGATTACAACCGACCGAATAAATGCATTCTTTTAAAGTTACACGACTTGCGAGCAGGCCCTCATTATAAGGATGCGCGTTCCCCACCCTACTGATGTGTTTGAAACAAGTCGAGGAGAGTTTCGCTGGGGATCTGGCACTAATAATGATTCGGAAGCAAGAGCTCTAGGCGACCTCCTCGAGATGTTAATTGGGGTTGCATTATTATAAAAATTTAGAGTTTAACCGACCTTACATCAGCATGGCTCCAAGGAGCCTACGATTTGTTGCAGATATCGGAAAACGACAATTACCGATGTAGTTGTCGGGTTTTGCTCGGAGAGAAATAAGACAAAACTCATTAGAATGTCATAAAGTAAAGTTTAGGGCGACCCTCCTGTCTCCTTCCCAAAAGTCGGTCATTCTTACTTTTAGAGGCACGGATTTCAATCTTAACGGGCAGCTTTTAGGAAATATCTATTTTAATCATTTTAGTCAACCAGCAGATAGAAGTTACCATAACTGCTAACAAAAAACAACAACAACAAAAGCAACAACAACAATAAATGCGAATAATGGTAGACCTGAAGATAAACCAAATAGTATCCTAGATCTTGCGAAGGAAAGGAACTAACTCACATCAAACAGTGATTAATTTTAAGTAATTTTCACGTCAATGTCTAATATTTGCATATCGCGTTTCTAGAAGTGAAAATTTCAATTTGTAACTATCAATTCGATTATCTTCCAGTAAAAGAAAGAAGTCCGTATTGCTCCGTCCGCGTTAGGGTTCACGCCGTGGCACGATTGACCCATAGATATTTAATCAGTCACTTTTCCTCGTCTTCGAGCAGACGACGTCAGAGAGTACCATCCGGATGTGAAGGTTGAGAAGGGGCTCTTCGGTCGTTTGACTGTACATTAGTAGTCGATTCAGCTGTCTCATAAGGCCTGAATAGAGCTCTTAGCGCGGATAAAACTCTTTGCAGAAGTGTCAGTTCAGAAGCTCCTGTCGACCTGGATGAGTTTTCACCGATTTCGGTACGGTTTGAGATTCGAGAACGAGTGGAAAGGTTTCCTAGAAATACTGACTCAGAAGACATAGAGTTCAATGAAACGTTACACGAGCTGGGTGGATAGTTAATTGCTACATCACTCAATGAATCAGAGAGTAAATCAGCAACATTGGACGTAACTGTCGAAGGTGAAGTAGGATACTCAACTTGAGAAACTTTAAACAGACTTGAGGATGACTCTCTTGTTGAGTCCCTTATTAATGTTGCTTGGGGCTTGTTTTCATACGACAAGCCCCTCCATAGGTTTCTTAGGGATTCTGGTGTAAGCGAAGACACAGATTCTATCTCAGTCTCACTAGAGGTTTTATCTAAATAGTTAGAATACTTTGATGTTGGATCTATCACTTTCACAACGGGTAATTCTGCATCACCGAATCTTGAAGCAGGTGCTGAGGGAGAAGACGCCTCCATTTCAAACATTTTCGTTGAACATTGTACATTTGATGGTGAATCAGCTTGCATATAACCATGATCCCTGCTAGTTCGAGCAGCCTTAATGGAACTTGGGGGAGGCTCCTTTGTTATATCCCTTGTTGGAACAGCCCAGGGCTCATTTTCACACGACAAGCCCCGCCAAAGGTTCCTCAGAGATCCTGGGGTGAACGAAGACACAGATTTGAACTCCGTCTCATCGAAGCTAGTGTCAGAAGCGTTGCTGCAGTTAAGTTTTACATCTGTCACTGACCCAACGGGTGAATCTAGATCACTGATTCGTGATGCAGGTGGTGATAACGTAGGGGGTGGCTCACTTTCATACAACGGCGCTGAACATTGTGCATTTGATGGTGGTAGATCGGGTTCCTTGTTAATGCGATTGAAGTTCACTTGAGAGGCGTTAGCTGAGCTTAAGGGAGATTGTCTGTTCATATCCCTTATTGGTACAGCTGGGGGCTCATTTTCACACGACAAGCCCCGCCAAAGGTTCCTAATAAATTCTGGGGTGAACGAAGATACAGATTTGAACTCCGTCTCATCCAAGCTAGTGTCTGAAGCGTTGCCATAATTCAGTGTAACATCTGTCACTGAGCCAAAAAGTGAATCAGGATCACTAAATCCTGATGCAGGTGTTGAAAGCGGAGACGATGGCTCCATTTCATAAAACTGAGGTAGCCAATTTACAGTTGACGATGAATCATGTTCTCTGTAACTATGATCCATGCTAACTTGAGGATCTTCACTGTGGCTAGACAAAGGCTCGTTTGCTAGTTTTCTTATTGATACAGCTGAGGGCTCACTTTCATAGCCCAGCCAAAGGTTTCTCAGTGATCGTGGCGTAAGTGATGACACAGATTTCCCCCATGTGTCGCTAAGACTAGTGTCTAAATCGTTACAGCGGTTAAAAGTAACATCCGTTGCCGAGCCGATGGGTGAATATACATCACTGAATCTTAATGATGGATCGGGATCCATGTGACAGAGGTCCACGCCAACTGGTGCAGATATGAAAGCTCGAGGCTCTATTTCGGAAACCTGCTCTGTAGGTTGCAGACTTGACAATAACTCTGGTTCCATGTGACAAAGTTCTACAACTACTTGACAACCCTCTACAAGACGGACCTGTGAGTCCATTTTACGTAATTTTGTCGATATGGTCGGTGACTGACTTTCAGACGAAAAAGTACCAGATAGCTCCGTTGGAGATCTTGGTGTGCAACTTGTCACAACAGCACTGTTCATTCCAGAGCAGGTGTGTTTTACATCTTCCATCTGGAGGTGATCTCTAGTACCTCTTAAATACCGTTTCTTTCGCCTTTTCCTAACGGGAAAAAACACAACAAAACAAAAAGCAAAACAAAAAATAAAATGAAGAGAAATTAGTAGCTTTCTTGACGTAATTATTTCCTAGCCCTATCATAAGATTCACGTTTCACACAGTAAAACCAGACACTGTATTCTATTAAGAGAGAAGCCATAAATTATACCCATCCAAGCTCTTTCATGAACTTTATTTTCATGATAAGGTGAGAGTAGTAGGCTGATAATCAACGCAATTGTATTCACAAAAGTGCAGACACCCAGTCATCCTTTCCGAAAATTGTCATTTGAAAAATTAATGTCAAAAATAAAGGATTTTTTTTCTAATTACCATAACAGAAGAGCAACGACAGCTAAAACGATGATAAAGACAACGGTACCCACACTTGAACCCACCGCCGTAAGTGCCGAGCTTCTTTTAGCATCTCCTTTGAGAAAGACACAGAAAACTAGTAATGTGAAGGATAAGCATACTGATGTTTACTTTATCCAAGCGTACATTTTCGGTTAAAAGTAGAAAGCCTTCGTCTGAATCTTAAATCGATGAACAGGTACAAGGCAATTTTCAGCAACCGCGCCAACAACACTGCCTAAGAAGACTTTTTCATGTGTGTTCCACATCTAATATACTACTACTTGCAGCTGACAGATGCTATGGCTGTGAAGTAGATAGACTTTCTCACGCCAGTTATCAAACTCGTCACGAGTCAATCTAGTCGTGACAAATTGGACGAATGGAGCAATAAATTTTCAATCGATCTCAGTCCCTGAACTTTCTTTGAATCATTCATTAACGAATAATAAAAAAACCACCACAAAATATAGTGTTCGATTTTGTAGCTCTTGATTGTTATTATAAGACCTAATTATTAGCCTTATAACGTTTCATGATGCCCCACAACATTCTAATGCGTCACAAGTGTAATACAAATATCGTGATGAGATGATTCACTGCAAAGATAACCTGTTTCAGTCAGGTGAGGTTGACAATGTATGAAAGTTACATAGGAAGAGGAAATCTTAAGTCTAACTTGTTCCCCTACCGTAGAATGACACCCTCACAAGCGTTGTGTCTCGTAAAACATTTGTGGTAGATGCGTCACGAGCCTCTACGACAAGGACAACAACGTCGCCTGCGGTAAAGGTTATTGGTGCCACGAGAAACAAATCCCCGCTTGAAGAATTAATCCAAAATAGCTGCTTTTCATTTCCATCTGTTATTTCAAAGGCCACCTCTGCATTTTCACCAATATCCTTATCACTTGCCTGAAAGAAAAAATAACAGCACACTGACTACGACATGAGATTGGGACAAGTTTAATTCTCAGCTCACTTAGTATCTACTTCGATTCATCGGCTTTCTCTTGTTTGTCTGCGTGACTTTGCGTCAAGATATTTGTTGTTTTATCAACTCAGTTGATAATACAAATTGGCCAACGTAAATTCCAAAGCTGACGTTTTGAGCCTTAGCCCTTTGTCAGAAGCCTAATATCGAAGACATAGGCCTGCCAGTCTCTTTTAAAAATTTGCCGCCACATAATGAGACTATTTGCCTTGGGTATTTTTTTCGCTCTGCCAGCTTACATATCTACACATTCTCACCTAGGAGAAGGTAGTATAGCTTCCATAGTTTTGTTCTCAACATATTTGAACCGTTACCCTTAAGGTTTCACAACAACTTCGCAGCGTTGTGTAAAAATACGGAGGGGTAGTTGCCAGGATGGCGATGCTCAATAAGAGACGATCTCCAAACAGTGAGTTTGGAACAAAAGGACTCCAGGACCCCGACAGACTTTTACTGGAAAGAATGCCTCATCGCCCAGATAACAGGCAAGAGCCGTTTAAATTCGCGTTAGAGCAAACAATTCAAAACATTCCGCAATGGGATTGTACCTTCGTCAATTGCAAAGAATTGTAAAAAATTTTCATAGCAGACTTAGACTTGCAGCTATAGGAAAGATTTAAGATCGACCAATACCATTAAACCCTGCACAGATGCTACTTCAGTTGTTACACGTTCTAGGTTAATACTCACATTTAAGTTTAACAGTAGACCAGGCTTGGCATGCAGGCTCAGTGAGATGGTGTACTCCTCTTTAGCTAGCACTGGCGGATTATCATTGATATCTTCAACAGTAACCAATACTTCTGCATGGCTGTTGTAGGACCCGTTAAGAAAATGAAGACTTGCCACCACAGTAAACTGGTGAAAGTCAGCAGTCTCACGATCAAGGGCTCTCGCAGTCTTAATCTCACCAGAAATCTGATTCAAATCGAACCTGGAATTTAAAGCAACACAAAGGTAATTTGTTATATTAGCTCTCAAATCAAGTTCACGATCACGATTCAGAGAGAAAGAAATTTCACGCGTCTGCTTGTCTAAGACGAGATACTTGTTGCTCAGAAGAGTAGATCTCACAAAGAAACCGTTAGACCGGACGAATAAGAGGTTGTGTCGTTGAAAATTTCTCTCTAAACTTTCAAGACAAAATGATATCTTTAAGACGTGCTTACCCACTAAGATGATTGTTGTCAGCGCTAAAACATTTCATTCACCCCGTTTAACTACTTTATTTGCCACATATCTCCAGATTAACTTAGAAATGTGGAAACTATTCTCTGATTTGAATTGGAATCAAATCAGACACCAGATGAATCCAAACAAGTTTCCCGAATCTTCAACAAACTAATCAATAAACGAAGCAAAAAAATAAAAGCAATCCTGATTTACGTTGGGCGTTCAGTTTTAATAACGTTGGTTTGCATTAGCACAGTTGCTGTGATTTCATATTCCGGCACAAAAGAAGATTCTTCGAGGCTAAAGGCAACAAAAGGCAATATTCTAGAAGTGTTGATTCAAATTTGGCTGTAAGACGATACGAAACTGTACAGGTTATAGAAAGTTATACAGAGAAGGATGACTAAAAACTTACAAATACTTGGAGTGTTCATTCTTAAAAGAGTACGAGATATTTCCACTCAAACCAGTATGGCGATTAACTGCCTAGAGAAAAAAATACCAGAGGATTAAAAAGTAACTTTTGGTTAACGTAAATTGATTAATTAACAACGTAATTAGCTATTCACCGAAGTTGAGGTGGCGTAGTGGTGAATATTTACCGAGCCGCGACACGGATATTTGCCCGCAGACATAATCTATTTCAAGATCCGATCAGTTTTCCGAGAGCGGAGCTCTAGGGAAAAGTTCACATCGGCAAGCTTTGATTTTTTTTTTTAGAAGAAGGACGTCAGGGGGTAGCGGTTAAAAAATGTTAGACAAATTTAGAAAGCAACAAATAATAAAAATTGAAGGAAATAAAGCGATCTGCAGTTTAACGTTTAATGTAAACGTCAGGGATTTCGCTTTTTTTGACAGATGAATGATCACGTTGCGAGCAAAGAAGTTGCCAAGCTTTTAGCTGTTTTTCATCGGTGAACCCATAAAGCTTGACGCACTTTCCTATATCAATATCGTGAAGGGGTCCTCGTTTCCGCAACAATCCTTTACAACGTACTTCCTTAAGTGCTATTGCGCTCGTGGTTCTATTGTTTCCTAAATTTACAATATTTGAATAGCATCATAATAGAAGCGAAAATGGCTCTTTGAAGTTGTCGATTCTACTAAAATACTCCATCTGTTCGGAAGCACTAACTAAGAGGACGGAGATTAAACTCACAGCTTCAAAAATAAAACTATATAATTTAGCAACGTAGGATGTAATAGTAATAAGTCAATTAAAATGTCTTCTTATCAATGCGATGTTGGTGTTAAGTTTGAACAAGTGAAAACAAGGAAAATCATCGTATGAAGAGAGCTAGAAATCATTTAATTTTCCCGTAACATTTGATACCCCACAGTATTAGCTGGGGGATATTCAGTCATGTGATGCGTTTAGACCAATCGCACGCGAGTAAATATATTTGATGGAACATATTATCATATATCGGCAAGTTCGTGATGCGTTTAGACCAATCGCGCGCGAGCAAATATATTTGATAGAACATAATAACATATAACGGCAAGTTTGTATGTGCCATTGAGTTATTATTGCCATTCATTTATTTACTGGTACTGGCGAAAGCCTTAAAGAAGATTATACACATCCAGGAGGTTCCTTCTCTAAACTGTAGCACTAATGATTTCATCTTTGAGTTTTTTCCTGCATTCCTAACAAGCCATCCTTAGTAACTATGAATATACTAACTTGAAGGTAAAATACTGCAGAGCAAAACAAATTGCCTGCCTAAACTCCTATTTGTGAGCAGTACCCTTAAGCCGTGAAACAAGACAAACACTGTAAAAAAAACTCTCTCAACTTTTTCTGATTCATTTTCTCAGGATGAGACCCATTAAGCGTAAACTTGACGTGCTTGACCCAGTTTCCATTGCTCTTTTCTAGGCGGAACTATATAAAACAGTAATGCTTAGAGTATCGTGATTGAAAATACTCCGTAATTCTCAATCGGGCTCAGGAATACAGCGAAAAAAACCATTGCAACGGCATACCTTAATAAATCCAACAGTAAGCCCGCTTTCGCCTTCCCTCACGCTAAATTTGAATGAAGGATCTTCAAATAATGGAGGGTTAAGGCATCCTGAAAGATCCACAGTCACCGATGCAAGCTCTACCAACTGTGACCTACCGGAATCTTTAGCTGTGACTGAAATCTTATAGAATAAATTGTCTTTTAGATACCGCCGCAATCAAAAATAAATAACCCAGGAAAAAACGTCAGCGGATGCAAACAAATACAAATTGGAATATTCCCCTGAGATATTTCCAGCTTTTCCATCACCCACTTGCCTGACTTTTAATTTCAATTAAAGGATTAAAAAAAATCCAAAGTTTCCTTTCTTTTCCCTCTCCTGAAGGGCAATTAAAGGATTTTAAAAAATCCAGTTTCCTTTCTTTTCACTCTCCTGAAGGGCAATTAAAGGATTTTAAAAAATCCAGTTTCCTTTCTTTTCACTCTCCTGAAGGGCAATTTGAAGGAGGAGATTGAACATGGTCTAGATATAGCCATTTTAAGTACGCTTGTTTTGCAGCTAAGTTAAGATCTTAGCTACATGTACCTTGTTTACCAAGGCTGTATTTTTGTTCTGCCCTAGCTTTCAGTAAGAAGCAAAGGAGTTGCAATGGATTCCCTGATTGATTACCATTCTGTCAACCAGTGGTGTGACAGAAACAGTGTATTTCTGCTTTTACAATCAGTTACCTTATGATGGTTTCCTATTCCTCAAATACACGCTGCTTACTGCAGCAAATCTGGTTAAGCAAACTGTAATGGTAGGTAACAGCTAGAGGAAAATTCAACTACCTCTACAAAGTGATATGTAGCTTCATCTGCCACCAAATTCCTTCTGGTCCGTAGGGTACCAAGATGGTCAACAACGAATAGCCCCAAGGAATTACATGTTAACACAGCAAAGGACACATTGGACTGAAACAGACAGAATATTAATCCACTGTTATCTCCAAGAGCTATTAAGAATCACATGAATAAGATTTCAACTACAAATGAAATCACAAGGTCACAAAGTGACAATTAAAACTAGACACAAACATTTTAAAAAGTTATTTAGTGAAAAAAGAACTGTCACTTGCCAGCACTCCACTGGAAGTCTGCTATTTGTGCAAAATTTAACTTCAACCAATTTCAGTATTATAGTTAATAAAAAAGTGAAATTTAAGTAAACAGTCATTTCCTTAACTACGGTTATTGATACTTACTATATTGTGCACGCTTGATGTCTGCAAAGCCAACTGCATCACAGCATAGCCTGGTGGAATATGGTGAGTTATATTTGCTTGATAAGAGTGTTGAGATAACAGCAATTTAGAATCACGACAGGCTTCATTTGCATTGCCCACACAGTATGTCACACAGTACTATGAAAAAATAAACATATAAAACCAGTTTAACATATTAAACTATTGTGCATATTAAAAGTGTGATTTTAGCATTGATGATGAAAAACACTGTATACTTAAAACAATCCACACATGTATGCACATTGGCTTATTGAAATGAAAAACAAAGGAATAGAGCATAAGGCATGAGCATGAAAGGTAAAAGACACAAAGATAGGAAAAATGGTTGGGACAAACTTGAGAGAAGCATTTAGATGACATTTTTTTTTTCCCATTATTAAAGGGTTTTCAGTTTTTCACCAATGCTCAAATAAAATTTTCATTAAAATGCATGATCTTTACCAAGGCGTCCACAGAAGATTGATTTGGATCTTTGCTGACTGCCATCAGAAATGTGCCCACATAAGATGGATTTGACTGTAGGAAAGAATTATCAAAAACACATTTTTATCATATTTCAGTCAAAAGTAGTGCTAATTGGTCAGTACTGTACTGGGGAACTCAATAATGTTATATACCAACTAATAATGCTACATACTAATAATGTTATAGACTAACAGTTTCAAGACATACTACATCTTTAATCCACTCTACTTATGAGCTTGGACAGGCACTTCCTTTAATGGAGGACCCTCTACCATATGTTCGTATATTGTCAAAGATAAAGCAATTTTTTGGTTTGCTAGTCATTTGGCCTGCGTGTTTTAACCGAAATAGTGTTCATGAATGTGCCAGATATCAGGTTTCTTCATAAATATCCATTGCCATTCATACCCATTTCAGTGAATTACACATTGCCATCTATTGTTAACTCCAGTCTATTCTTACCTGTGATATGTTGACAGTTTCTTTGCTGTAAAGATTTCCTGTTTTGTTGCTAAGACCAAAAAAACGATTATAGGCAGGATCCTGTTGTACATACCAAATGGTATCCACACTGAAGCTTGAGTTTATGAGTGAACCTTAAGGGAAAGAAAAAATATTAATAAGGTTTTTACAATTAATTGCTAATATCTTTAGCAGCAGTTTTTTAAGGAGATTATTTTTCAAGAGTTACTTCTAACCTCAAGGTAAAAAAGAACTTTTAAAATAGTAAGGCTGTGACAGTGAGGAAAGAAAAATACTGTAATTATAAGGAAGTGAGACAATGTGGTGAAGAAGTCGCATAATGTTGACAGGATCTAATCCAACATTCCTGTGCTTGCCACTCAAATGTACACAGAAAGCTGTGATAGGGCAAAGATTTTGCACAAGAATCAAACTTGTAATCAAACTCGACCCAGTATATACTTACAGTAAGTATAAAGTTGTTTCAAACAAACAAGTAAAAAATGATAGCCCTTTCAAAAAATATATGGCTGTGAATTTGACTTTTTTCTATGGAGATATTTAACCTAGTATCTGATCAAGTTTACCCGTCCCCCTGGATCTTTTTCTCAAGGGATTACTTGCTTCCCTACTCATGTGCAATTCCATGCATCCATGTTAGAGTAGTTACACATGCTGGTTATTCAATACAAGCCAATATAACTGATGGCAGCTATAACTATATTTAATCTCAAAAGGTGTATGTCTCCAAAACTAAAAGGTCCATCAAATCGCCCAGTTTCGAGGTAAGTGGCCACCAAAGCATTTTCTCACAGATTACCTTCTGAAAGTCCTCCAGATATAACCAATGTTTCATTCTCAATTGGTATATTAGGTTGCAAGTTGCCACCTAGAAAAAATATCACGCTAAAAATGAGGTCTTTTTTCGTAAAATGAAAAAAGAGATGGTTTAAAACATACCACAGTTGCATAGTTAAATACAAAGTAAGAAGCTATTACTGACAGATAAACTTGACTCACCCTAAATAAAAGTATTTCATTACCTTACATGAGAGGCTTTTAATATGTTTTCAGGCTTATAAAACTAACCAATTCGCCGCTATAAGATTCAGTGAAAATCCTACACGATAGAGACATTTTAGGAAAAGCATCCCCTTTATTTCTAACTCGTGTAGGTCTCTCATTTGAATACTATTTGACTTGCTCCATTTTAAGTGCAATCTTGGCCATACAAAATTTCACTTTGCGTAGGTAAGGCTAAATTGGATTACAAAGATAACGAAATCCTGATAGCTGGACAATTTACCCGCTTAAAACAAAGTCATTAAGGTGAAGTTCTAAGTAAATTAATGTATTCTAATATCCCGGACTTACCTGACTTAAATGTGGAGTTTAGCTCCAAAATAAAAAGGGACACAACTGCCAACGGGCAGCTCAAACCCATTATGAACAATTGAATCACCTTTGCCTTGATAACGTCAGACTACGCAAACAGAAAGGAAGAACCAGTAAAAACGTAAAGCCTCGTTCCCAGGAAAAAAAAAACAACCCTGGGAGAGAGGTTAGGTATAATTACCATCATGGCAAAGTAAATAATGACCATTAATGATCGAGAAAAACTATTTAGAACTTTTCTCTGAGCCTAGGATGAATAATTTCACAAGTATGATTTTTCAGGTGCAAATTCCCAGAGGCAAGGACTGCATCTAGATTCAATCCTGCGAATATCAAGAAGTTTTCCTCTTGATTTCTCAACAGCAATCTTTGACTACTTGAGGAGTGCATGGGAGAAACTGTAGATTTTGATGGACGTGAAAGAGATGTTTTGGAACTCTCTTTGCCGTTGATGAGAGGGGCGAGGACCTATGATATTTGTTTGCAAATCTATTACTTTTGCGCTCCGTGATGGCGTTCATTTTGCGCGTTTCGATGTTATTCGCGGAAACGACTGTGACTGTTGTCGCTGTCAAGACATGGTTTGCCAGATGAGGAACGAGTCGTGCTCAACTGTTTGAACGAGGTGAAAGATAGACTTCTTCCGTAAATGTTGATATTGGTAACGAGATGGATGCGAAGAACCAGACAATATGAAGCAAAAACTCGTGAATCACGAGGGTCGAAATCAGTTAACTCATCTTCGTTATACAATTACTTGATGGCTTCACAAGTTAGTGGATTTTTATGAAATGTGCCGGCCATTTTATCCCTCTGAGGCAGGTTGCTTCAGGTAGGAATTGTGTGTTTACTGAATAGGTGGTAACCCCAAATGAAAAACTTTGGTATGTTGCTAAACGATAAAAAAGGGGAATATATCTAATCTAAAAATATTGTAAGGGTTTCCTATATTGGTGTTGGGAGAATGAATGGAAATAATATATTATAGCATAAGCCATTCCGTAAACATTGTAATAAGCCAGTTGATCATTTCTTATTCCTTTTGGCGGTCTTACCTTACAGATAGAGTTTAGTCACCTTTTCCTTATTATGATCGTGAATTTGACATGGAGACAGATGTTTTTGCGTAAACTGCAGTTTGCGGCTAGTTACCGGTACCTTTTCATGATGTTGCTCAAAAAAATTGATCCGGCACAGGAGTTTCCTGGAAATATCCCCTCTTTATACTTTCATCCATTTCATACTCTCGTTTTTAGGCTACATCCATGTCGAATTCCCCATCAGGAAAATAGTTTTCAGTTTTTAATTTAGCACGTTCGACACCTCTTTTTCTTAGAGGTGATTTAAGGTGTAAACGTGAAGTACTTTCATCTACCGTACTGAATTTGTAATTAGATAACTTATACGAATAGCACGTAGCTCTCTTGGGGGCGGTACCTCGGGTACGCCCTTTCTTCTCCGAATTTTGTGTTTACTCTGCTGTTATGCAGCAACCTTCTAGGACAATTTTCTTCTAGGATACCTTTCTAAGTATGATTTTAATTCTGTTAATAAGTTTATTATAATTTTTGTATTGTCAATCTTGTTTATGTTTTGCCTAAACTTGATTGTAAGACCAAGAAATTTAAGATAGAAAGACATTTCGTAAGGCGTAAACATCGCGAAGGTAACTACTTAGTATGCGAACTCCGTTCTACGTAGCCCAACGTGATTCGCTATTTAAGTGAAAAATATGACGAAGGTTAGAAATTGACAGCTCTGTAAGTGTCACCTTTATAAACGGTGACCCTCACTTTCTTCGAGAGGTCAGAGCTAGTGTCTTCACAAACAATAGTCAGCTGAAAGGCTTTTTGTCTTTTTCCCGCGAAAATTGGATTTTCGCGCGGTAGGAAAGAAGCAACTCGAGGAGTTTTTTCGGTCATGACAAATAAATAAGAAAATACTCTCAAAATCTCTGTGAGTGTTTTTAGAATGTTTCTGTCTTCCAAACAAGATTTTTAGGCTAAAATAGAGAGAAAATTGATAATTTATGTCTCCAACATATTTTTTTTTCACCCGGAGTGGTGCGCGACCGCAGGCATTGAATTTTGACGGCGAAAAAGAAAGAACCTTTTGATGAGAACTGTACTCTTGTATTTTAATTTAGTTTATCTCTCAGGGATATACCAATCGAATGAAAAAAGTTTCGGAAAACATGAAATCCATTTTACTTAATGTGCTTTGATCTAAATAGTTCGTATCAAAATATTCGCATCGATGAGAAGAGGCGGCAGTCACGCATTGTTGTCAGATTTTTTTTCAGTTTTCATATGTTTTGAACAAAAGAGTGTAGTGGCTCACAAAAATACGCTAGTTATTTCACATGACAAGAAGAAAACAAACTGTTCAAGCCGAGCGTTTTATGAATGAACGACAGCCGAATTCACCAGGACATGAAGATCACTCGGAATGACAGCGCCGTAAAACTCGGCTGCAGTGACTGACGTGGCCTTCCACTCAACGCATCGGAAAAGTTATCAGAGCAAGCTCTTATTTTTCCATTCGAAGGGTAGTCGATTTAGTTCCTGGGGCTAGCTCCACTGTGATGACCGAAGATCGCCATGATGAGCTAGCCGCGATAGACCTCAGCATGATCGTAGTCGCTCTGACACCGTCATGATTAGTATGAATTTCAACAGTTATGCCAAGTTATATTTTTCATCACTCCTGTTTTTTTATGTTTTGTTTTTGAACACGAAACTTTATATACTAAACAAGTGCTAGTTGTGTTTGATTTTTATTACCGTCCGTAAACT